ATTATTTTTTAATTATATATTTAGCTAGCTGGGGTAGGTGGAAGTTAGTGGGGAATTGGGGGATTTGGCGTTAGGCTAACTAGGGGTTAACGTTAAAAAAAGTTTTAAAAGAAACTTTAAAAAGTTAAAAATTAAGCTTAAAAAAATGTTTTAATAACATTTAAGTAAAAAAAACAAAAAAAACACACTTTACCTAGTCCAAATAAAAATTAACCCCTTCCCTGCCAGTCGATCACTGCCTACAGCGATCAAATAGAGATCACAGTATTATACTGTGATCTAATTTTTTTTAACCCCTGAGGATTAACTTTTATTTATTTTTTAACCCTCAGGGGTTCAATTTATTTAATTAATTAATTTAAATATTTTATAACTATATATTTTGCTAGCTGGGGTGGGTGGGAGTTATGGGAAAATGGGGAATTTACTGTTAGTGCTGCGTACTGCTAGTTAGGGGTTAATGGTAAAAAAAAAAGCTTAGAAAAATGTTAAATCTGTAAAAAAGTTTTAAGAAAGTTTAGGAAAGTTTAAAAAAAATTTATAAGCAAAACAAAAGTTTAAAAACTAGTTTTTAAAAGTAAAAAAGTTATCAAAAGTAAAAAAATACATTTTAAAAATGCTCATTACCATTACACCTGGAACAAACTACAGAAAAAATTATCCCACGCCAAGGTTCAAAATATGCCTTTTGAATTACCCCAGGGTGTATTCTTTAATAAATAGTATGTTTTTGTGGGGAAGTTTCAATAACCAACCGTCTAAACTATTCCAAATTGGAACATGGACACAGCGTAAAACTTCAAAGTTAGAAAAAAACTGAATGGCTGCGTCTCAAATGCGCCCCTTCAACATCCACATATACCTGGCAAAGGTACATACGGGGGTATTGCTGTACTCAGCCGACATAGCTGAGCAACATATGAAGTATTATACAGTCATAGCACACATAAGGTTTGCAAAATATGCTGCGCAAACTCACTTTGTATGTCAAAAAGGCAGAAAAAATGCTTATTACCACTACACTTGGTACAAGCTAGCGGAAAAATGATCCCACGCTAAGGTTCAAAATATGCCTTTTGAAATACCCTGGGATGTCTTCTTTAAGAAATGGTATGGCTTTATGGGGAATTTGGATTATATAGCCTGGTAAAATACTCTAAAATGGGACATAGGCACAGCATAAAAATTCAAAGTTTGAAAAAAACTGGAATGGCTGTGTCCCAAATGTGCCCCTCCGATGTCCACACATACCTGGCAAAGGTACATACGGGGGTATTGCTGTACTCAGCCGACATAGCTGAGCAACATATGAAGTATTATACAGTCGTAGCACACATAAGGTTTGCAAAATATACTGTGCAAACTCACTTTGTATGTCAAAAAGGCAGAAAAAATGCTTATTACCACTACACTTGGTACAAGCTAGCGGAAAAATGATCCCATGCTAAGGTTCAAAATATGCCTTTTGAAATACCCTGGGATGTCTTCTTTAAGAAATGGTATGGCTTTATGGGGAATTTGGATTATATAGCCTGGTAAAATACTCTAAAATGGGACATAGGCACAGCATAAAAATTCAAAGTTTGAAAAAAACTGGAATGGCTGTGTCCCAAATGTGCCCCTCCGATGTCCACACATACCTGGCAAAGGTACATACGGGGGTATTGCTGTACTCAGCCGACATAGCTGAGCAACATATGAAGTATTATACAGTCGTAGCACACATAAGGTTTGCAAAATATGCTGCGCAAACTCACTTTGTATGTCAAAAAGGCAGAAAAAATGCTTATTACCACTACACTTGGTACAAGCTAGCGGAAAAATGATCCCACGCTAAGGTTCAAAATATGCCTTTTGAAATACCCTGGGATGTCTTCTTTAAGAAATGGTATGGCTTTATGGGGAATTTGGATTATATAGCCTGGTAAAATACTCTAAAATGGGACATAGGCACAGCATAAAAATTCAAAGTTTGAAAAAAACTGGAATGGCTGTGTCCCAAATGTGCCCCTCCGATGTCCACACATACCTGGCAAAGGTACATACGGGGGTATTGCTGTACTCAGCCGACATAGCTGAGCAACATATGAAGTATTATACAGTCGTAGCACACATAAGGTTTGCAAAATATACTGTGCAAACTCACTTTGTATGTCAAAAAGGCAGAAAAAACGCTTATTACCACTACATCTGGTACAAGCTAGCGGAAAAATGATCCCACGCTAAGGTTCAAACTATACCTTTTGAAACACCCTGGGGTGTCTACTTTAAGAAATGGTAGGCCTTTGTGGGGTAGTTTGAATTTAAAACCTGCGAAGATGCTTGGAAATTGCACATAGGCCCAGCGTCAAAATTCAAAGTTTGGTAAAAACGGATATGGCTTGGTCTCCTATATGGCACTGTAGCTTCACAAAATAGTGCCAAAGACATTCATTGGGGGTGTATTTTTACTCAAAAGACTTAGCTGAGTATAATTTGGGAGGTTTGAACTTAGTGGCACATATGAAATATACAAAACGCCCAGCAAAAATGCAATCCGTATGTAAAAAATGCACAAAATAATTTTTTACCACATACTTTGGCATATATTGGTGAAAAAATGGGGGTATGTTAAGGCACAATATGCACCTTATGAGATACCCTGGAGTGTCTACTTTTACAAATGGTAGGCCTTTGTGGGGTTTTTTTGAACAGTCAAACTGTTATAATACCCCAAATGGAAGCTAAGGCTCATTAAATCCATCTCTCAAAATTCTACTGTGAATACTGAAAAGGACAGGTATCCTGTATGGCACTGTAACTTCACGAAATAGTGCCAAAGACATTCATATGGGGTGTCATTTTACTCAGAAGACTTAGCTGAGCATAATTTGGGGGTTTGAACTTAGTGGCACATATGAAATATACAAAACGCCCAGCAAAAATGCAATCCGTATGTAAAAAATGCACAAAATTATTTTTTACCACATACTTTGGCATATATTGGTGAAAAAATGGGGGCATGTTAAGGCACAATATGCACCTTATAAGATACCCTGGAGTGTCTACTTTTACAAATGGTAGGCCTTTGTGGGGGTTTTTTGAACAGTCAAACTGTTATAATACCCCAAATGGAAGCTAAGGCTCATTAAATTCATCTCTCAAAATTCTACTGTGAATACTGAAAAGGACAGGTATCCTGTATGGCACTGTAACTTCACGAAATAGTGCAAAAGACATACAATGGGGGTGTCATTTTACTCAGCAGATGTAACTGAACACAAAATAAAACTTTGTACAGGAATAGCACACACCAACTTTACAAAATATACACGAGAATTTCTCTGTTATAAGTTTGTGTGCCAAAAACCAAAAAGAACACAATTTTACTCCAATATTTAGCAGAGGTTGGCGGTGAAATGGCTACGTAGAAAGTGTCAAAACAACCTAAGGTAAATAGCCCGTGATGTCTACTTTATATAAATATATACTTTTGTGTGGCAATTTTGTTTTCTTTTATGGCTATTAAGCTTACAAGACAAACATACCAAATTCTAAAATCGCTCCACATTAAAAGTCTATTTTACTCCTTGTGCTTTGTGACCTGTAACTACCAAAAAAAACTTAAAATCCCAGACACATTATATATTCTGTAAATCAGAACAAATAAATAAATTTATTTTTAATTACTTTCCTTAACCTGCACTAATTATGCACATATTATTATTGCAAAAACTGTAAAAAAAAAAAAATATTTTTCATTTTTTTTGCATTTTTCTGTATTTGTTTTATAATAAGTAAGCATTTATATATATATATATGTTATATCAAATTAAAGCCCTTTCTGTCCTTTAAAAAACAGTATATAATATGTGTCGGTGCAATAAATGAGAGAGATGCAAATTGCAGTTGAACGCAAACAGCAAGAAAATGCAAAAATTGCTTGTGTCATTAAGCGTAAGTCAAGCTTCTGAAGCTGTGTCCTTAAGGGGTTAAGAGAAATAGGCCTTTTGTGTACATAGAAAAATTCTTAGATCTTTGAGTTCAGCTCATGAAAAATGGGGGCAAAAACAAAAGTGTTGCGTTTATAATTTTGTTCAGTGTTTATATTTGTATCAAAATACTCTTAGAATGGGTAAGAGATTGACGCAGATTATTAAGAGTTCCGCACCTACAGTCAACATTTCAGCTACTAAGAGCCTCAGTTGCCGTTTAATTACCCTTTGAAACTGCCTTACCTACCTCCCGCGACCCCTGCAGCCCTATGCCATGATGTTTACTGTCTTTCTCCTGCAGTGTTGAACCTCAAGATGACTGAGAGATAGGCAAGACCATTTTGCCATACTTTAATGTACATGAGCCTGGGGCTTCATCCCCCGCTGAACCCCTTCCCCTTTTCTCCTGCCATTTTCCACGTAAATTTTTCTCTTGTTTTTGCTCTACATGGAGGGGGGCGGGAGCACTGTTAATGGGTATGTACTCCTTCCAAGGGTTCCCCGCATGGTGCACTACTCCCTGCGAGAGCAATGGGCCCACGAAGCTCAGCGAGTCAATGTCCCCATACTGAACCCCCTCATGAACCACCAGCACCACAGCGCAGATCCCCATCCCTGAGAGGGGCTGCTCAGTCCCACAGCTGGAGCCCCATTAAAGGACCACTCTAGGCACCCAGACCACTTCAGCTTAATGAAGTGGTCTGGGTGCCAGGTCCAGCTAGGATTAACCCATTTTTTTTATAAACATAGCAGTTTCAGAGAAACTGCTATGTTTAAAAATGGGTTAATCCTTCCTCCAATTCCTCTAGCGGCTGTCTCATTGACAGCCGCTAGAGGCGCTTGCGTGATTCTCACTGTGAAAATCACAGCCGCGCGTGTGCATTCAGCCGAATGGGAGGAACGGAGGAGGATCGGAGGAGGAGAGCTCCCCGTCCAGCGCTGGAAAAAGGTAAGTTTTTATCCCTTTCCTCTCCCCAGAGCCGGGCGGGAGGGGGACCCTGAGAGTGGGTTGACATTGACAGTTCTGTGCTACCGGCGTCACGTGTGCTAGGAGTGCAACTAGATACAAACATCTCAGTATGTGCAGTGTGTCATGCAGAAACACTGCACATACAGACACGGACCACCATGGTCACATCAAATAGCTGAAGTCGTCATGGTTCTTGGAGTAACCCTTTAATCAGAATCTCAGAGCCTGCTTTTAAGAAATACCCACAGTGATTGCTATGTTTCATTGAATTCAATACATCATTCCTTTTTTTTTTTGTTATTTAAACTTATCATACTTTTTAGTATGTCCCTTTAAAAATATATTTTTTTTTCTGAATTTACAGCAATCAGAAACACAAAATGTTTTTTTTTATTTTCAGCAGCTGCGTTCAGAGGGCATGTGAAAATATTTAACCATTGTACAGCGCTGCGGAATTTGTTGGCGCTTTATAAATAATAATAATAATAATAATTATATACACCAACAAAATACCTGTCATTTTCTTTACTACTCACCACACCTACTGTCTACATGTTACATTTCATTTTTGTATCCAAATTACTTCAGATTAAGAAATGTAAAGCATGTTATGGGTGCACCAACCTAGCCCCCCCCACCCCCACAATCCCTGCTAGATTCAGGCAGCAATAATGGCTCTGCACACCTACTCTCTAAGAGGAGCACAGGGGATGTATACAGGTTAAATCTGCTAATCCTGTGGGATTTACATTGCCAGGACTGAAGCACGTTGCCCTTTATCAGAGTGCATGCTGTGTGCAGCCTGTAAGAAGGAAGTGTATCAGCAGCCAATCAGCAGTGAGTGACGTCACGAGCAAGATCCCTTTAAGGAAGATATAGTTGTGTATATGTGTAGTTGCTCAGTAGTGGGGACTGGAGAGCACCATGGCAGAAGGACAGCATGAGCAGCTGCAGGAGCAGTTTTACATAGATCTTCCCAAAGTGGTGAGACATTTATTTTATGGGCTTAGCAATGGCATGGTCTTAAAGCAGCCAGGGCTCAGATTTAATACTGCTGCTGTGGATCACAAGTCCCATGACTCTCAGGCAGAATGCAGGCTGGCTCAGCCTCATGGGAAACGTGGTCCATGACAACTCAAAAGTAAAATGGTTAGCAAGCACTGCCTTGAAGTGCTGTAGTATGTGTTGTTTTTTTTTTTATTCTGTGCATGTTGTCAGCTGTGGTTTGCAGAGACTGTACAGTAAATAAACCTAGATCTGGTTGTTATGGTTAATGGTAGATATGTGTAGTTTAATCTGTACATATGCACCTGTTGTTTTACAATTATCTTTTTCTCAATATGGAAGTAATGTTTAGAGATTGAGGTGATGGTTCAGTTATATGTGCTAGATTTACACTTATTGCCTGGTAATACAAAATGTATATTAAAGATTTGCATTGATAACATGTCCAGTATTTGGTTGATACACTGGCATTTGATGTGATAACCATGGCCTGTTAAAGTTTACTTGAAGAGGTATATGCATATTTCTGTCTCTCTCGATATTCTTTGAACAGGAAATATGAATGAACATAGAATTGCTGAAAATGGTAGATATAATTGTAATGTGATTATAATTCTGTTAGACTTTAATTGCGCTTATATTTTCTTTATGTGAAAAAGGTTGGGTTTACATTGGCATTAACTCCACATAATGCTCTTTATAAATGTATGTATATATCATACATACAATATTGCATTAAAAAAAAAAAAAAAAAATTAGTGTTTACCGGGGCGCCTACATCCTCGCCCCTCTTTACAGATATCTCTAGTGATATCAATTCTGTCTGGGCTGGGAAGTGTCAACTAAGATTCATTGGCTGGGAAGTGTCAACTAAGATTCTCTCCCCATTAATTCCATCTAAATAGAGACTACTCTGACATGTCAAGTGCAGAAGGGGAACTTCCACATTATCAGTATCTGTGAATAAAGGTTTTTACCTTTTAATAGCGGGTTTGTGGCGCCAGGGGTCTTCTGACACCATAGCCACTACAGCCCACTATAGGGATTATGATGAATTAGAATACTACAGCAACGGCTGCTATTTGCAGCCGTCTCAATGAATTCATACTTGGAGAGATGGTGTGGAGAATCAGGTAGTGGTGTTTATTGCCTAAAAACTGAATTACAGTGAACTTTTTTACCCCCACTCTCTCACTCAATGATTCAAGACTGCATTCTATGGATCCCCAAAATAACAACCTGTTTTTTATTGTGATTAACACCAAATAGAATTTTAAAATGTTCTCTTCTACCTTAATAATAAAATTTAAAAAATGATGGCTGGGCATCTGAAAAGGCTAGGTAACTTTTTTTTTTTTTTTTTCCCAGGGACAAGAATATGTGCCAAAAAGTGGCTTATCGTTGAATGGGCATGATCTGGAGAGATATTAATAAGAAAAATTGCATATAATGATGGTCAAATCACTTCTTAAATAAGTTCTACTTTATTGATCTTGAAAGTTGAGATCCTGATATAGAATTGGGCATTCTAAGATTCCCATAGGGCATTGAATTGTGGTGAATTTAAAATGAAAATGTAAAATTTAGGGAGAAAACATGTTTTTTGGGTTGCATTGCGTGACAAGTTAACAGAGCAGTCCCATTGGCTAGGAAGATACCCATGCAATACACCATAAGGTCAGTGAGTGACAGCTGATATGATATGTTATCTTCTTATCTGTAAACACACAGAACGTGCTTTACAACAAACAAGGTCATGATCTAGAAAAGCGTCAGAACAGCATGCATTTAGGTTAAAAGGGACAAGCCAGGTCATATATTCATCAGCTACTTTTTCTTTTGCTGCATTCTATACATAAATTCATTTTTCAAAAGTAATTTCTATTGCAGGGATGTCTACAGCCACCACCAGATGAGATCAGTCACCCAATCCATGGCTTCTTTTTTATTTCTGTTGAGGGTTTACAGAGCATATACTTGTAAACACAGCATTATTTTTCTTTAATAACTGCATGTACTCCTTTACTGCTCATAAAATGTCATGTCGGAAACAGGGCACATGTACACCGCAGTTGTATCTCTGTTGAAACAAATTAATAATTTCTGCTTGCACCTCTACGTAGAAGCCACCAAGTGGCAAATCACTTGACAACCATATTTTGTGGAATCATGCCAAAATCCTCAGGTTCCTGGAGTGATTCATTCACATACACCATTGTCTTTTTTTAAATGGGGACCATCTTGGGTTCTAGCTCTGCATGGCAAATAGAGAATTTACTTCTGAAATATATCTGCGTGACTTGATTCAGTGGGAACCACCTCACTTTGGTTTTATCTTGGACCCTCTTGAGAGTGTCCCAACTCTCTGTAAACACTTCTGCTGGCAGACAGGGGCACCCTTCTCGGCTTTACCGATGTTTGCAAAGCTAGACAGGCTTCTTGAAAACTTCTTTTTTATGAAGTTGTCAATTTCTACACCAATTTCATAAGCCCAGAAGAAGAAGCCAAGTCTGGATTCTGGTGAAAGGGTACAAAATACTCTGGCTACCTTTTTTTTTATTTTTTTTTTAAAAAAGACAGTGTAGATCACTAACCAGATATGCAACCTTTTTAATCAATTAATCACAGAAAATTAGCATTCCTTTGAAAAACAGAATATTTAGCTGTGGCACCTTGGATCTTTTTGGGATTCTTTACTCTTCAGCAAAGGTAGACCTTATAGGCTCAATACTACAACACCTACCTAAATTCACTGAGCATGCTCGGATGGGATGGAGACGGCTTATTGGTTTCCTTCCACTTAACAGAAGTTGGTAAATGTGGACGTTGTATTTACCTTGGGGCTACGCACCTGGAACTGGAGACAAGCAGTAGCAATGAACATCTCTTGCCAGGATTTAAAAAATTCTATAAATGTTTCCCCTATATTTAACAAATATTTGTTTGTGAGAGCTTCTACAAATTATATATAGAAATCCACGTTATTTAACTGTCATGGAAATGAGTGGCACCATCATGGCTCATTTTAAAGGTGAAGTCGCACATAGAATTATGCTGTCAGAAGAAACAACAAAAACTCTATATGTCATATTTATATATCTTACACTTGCATTAAATTATACTTTGTGGAAAAGGTGTCCATTTCCATAAAAGCACAATAAAGTCTGAAATACAAAGGTTAAAACCAATTGTTTGAACTTAATTTGCATACTCCTATTGATCCACAAATGATCGGTGGGGGGAGAGGGGGTGGTTTACACACCCCCTACATTTTTAAGAAATTTGTAATTGGTTTTCCTATGGTAGGCCTTGATTTAATATTCTTGGAATTGCTTTTTAAACCATTAAATGGTTTTTGATAAACTTTTAAAATATTTTTTTTCAAAATATTTACGTTAAAAGTCTTTACAAACAATATTAAATAATTTCAAATGCTTAACCAAATACATAAATTGAGACCATAATAATACATTTTTATATGCAGAAATGAATTGAACTGACAGTGGCTTACAGGGAACATAGTCATGTAAATATTTGCTGGTGTGTGTGTGATTCCCATCCATCCACCCCCCTTTTGGTATTAAAGAAATTAACTTACATTACAGTACTCACCATGTCTCTAGCCCTGGGGGTTCTTCTGCTGCACTTGCCCACTCCGCCTTTGAAGACGTGAGCATGCCTGCTGATATCTTTTGCAATCTGCTCCAATCAGATCATTTTTGTAGAGAAGCAAGGGATTAGAGATACATATGCGCGGCCAAATGCTGCAATCAGCAGAAGAGTGTCTCATTCAGGCCTCCTCTGTTATTTACACAAACACAAAACATTATTGTGTGAAATGGAACTCTAGTCCTCTTATCCCTTTTTCACATCGCACATGCCCATTAATGTAATTTCAACATACCCCTTGGTATTATTTTGAAGTTCATACAGTCCATCTGCTCATCCTGGTGGAGCTTTCTGTTTATCGAACCTTTTTTTTTTTTTTTTTTTTTTTTTTTTTTTTTTTTTGCTTAGTGACGTAAATATCTAACATTTTACTCCAGGCGTATGTTATGTAAAATGTAGAATTAGACTTTACTCCGCGTATTGTCTTGCTTTCTTTCTGAATCATATCCAATAGATGTCTCTTATCAACTCAGTTTCATAGAACTTGTCTCTTGACAATGTTTTATTTATTGCAAATGTGCATGTTTGAAGAAAATGCTAAAAAAAGAGTAACTAAAGTAAAAATGGTAACCAGAATGCAGATCTCTATGTCCTTGTGTACACAATAACGCCTCATTAAAGGGATTGTCTGGTTGAAACTTGACTCCATGTTTTTACTGACAAATTGATCGTGCAAAAAACAAACCATTACTTCTTTCTCAGGGTCACCCCTCTCACTTTTACCAATGTTTGATAAACTAGACATACTACTGGAACATTTGTACAAAGCTGTAAAATCCTGCATCTATTTCATAAGCCCAGAAGAGGAAACAAAGTCTGGGTGAAAATCTGGAGAAATACTCCAGCTACCTTTTTGAAAAACAGGCAGAGATCTCTCACGGTTCAGAGTGCAAATCACTATCCAGATATGCAACCTTTTAATTCTAGAAATTTTAGGATTCATTTGGAAAACTGAATATTTACCTCTGGCACTTTTTTTGTTTTTTGGGTGCATTTCTCATCCGTGCTTTTAAGTGGTCATGGTGCTTGAAGTCGGAATGTGCAGCATTTTCCTTTGAAACGCTGCACATACAGACTTTAACCTCTTTGCTGCCGGAGGTCTAACTCCACCTTTGGTTGCGTCATAGGGGTGAAGGTCTTTAGCCAGCCTGGGGCAATGTTATTTCTAAGCATATTGGTGTCAGCTTGTTGGTGACAGTCATCTAATAGCTGCCTCTGTTTACTTCTTTCCCCGTGCTGTCCACGTACTCCCCAACATCTCTCACCTAGCAGCCTGGGGGAGTGATGTCAGGCTGAGGGACAAACTTGGCCCTGGTGCTGGAATAGAGATTTGTTTGGGAGCAGGATAAGGAATGGTTACTTTAACCAAAACCAGTCTTTGTTTGTTGTTGGTTTTTCTTAAACACTGTTTTTTGGTTGAAGTAACCATTTAAATGCCATTTCTTTACTTGAAATACAAGCAGTTTTATTGCTTGTTCCTGTGGCAGTGATAAGAAAATATGCCTTATAAAGGCAACCATAGCTTTCCATGATTTTTTTTTTTTATTTTTTATTTTTTTACTATATATCAAATATATGAAATTCACATCATTGTATTTAGGTCTATACTGGAGCTGAGTAACCTCCATTTTGGCTCCCTGTCAGTAACCAGTATAAGGTTTTCACCTTCCTGTCTCTGGACAAAGTGTGGGGGAAATTGAAAACCAGAAATATTAGGTTTTTTTTGTTGGATGTAATTTTTCCAGTTCTCATGACATTTGCGACTATTTCTATTTTTCTTTCTTTTTTTTTTTTGCACCATATTCCTTCCTGTAATATAGATATTATTATTATTTTATTTACAAGTTTGTTGCATTCACTGTAAAAATAGAGAGCGTCAATAAGGAAATGGCTCATGTGTTCACTTTTCCTTAAAATGCATATTACCCAACATTGGGCCCCGGGTTGGCGTTACCCATAATGGATGGGCCTACCCAGAAAGGGGACTAGATCGTCCACTGAACGGGCATATCAGTCTGGCATCAACACCCCAAAATGACTGACAGGCTCCAGGCCAGCCCCACTCACAGCATGCACAGATCACACGGTCCCAGTGCCCACCCCTCATTTAAGACCAAAATAGCCGAGCTGAAAACAGTTGACTAGGAGATTTCTTTCCAATTCGGCTATTTTGGTCTAAAATTTAAATTCACTTTGAATTCCCAGAAATTCTCATTCTGAAGAATAACCCTATAAATATTATATTAGCTCTGTGATCCGCTCCATATACAGCTCTCTTAATAACTGTCAGCAGAAACCGGCTCTGTGATCCCCTCCATATACAGCTCTCATAATAACTGTCGGCTCTGCGATCCCCTCCATATCCAGCTCTCATAATAACTGTCGGCTCTGCGATCCCCTCTATATACAGCTCTCATAATAACTGTCGGCTCTGTGATCCCCTCCATATCCAGCTCTCATAATAACTGTCGGCTCTGCGATCCCCTCTATATACAGCTCTCATAATAACTGTCGGCTCTGCGATCCCCTCTATATACAGCTCTCTCTTATTTTTTTTTTATATATAGTTTTCCAGGGCCACAACTGCTGCACTTGAGGTGTTAATTAGACATTAGTGAACAGGGGTGTTGAAATAATAAAAATATTTGTCCAGGGACTTAAGCGTTTGCCCAATCTACTTGTCATCCGTGACAATCGTTTTTTTTGTTGTTTTTTTTAATCAAAAACGTGTTTTAAATAAGGTATTTATTGATGGTAATTTAGGGGACAGACCGAATAATGCAATTAAAGCACCACTATAGTGCCAGGAAAACACTAGTTTTCCTGGCATTATAGTGTTAATAGGTCTCCCCACCCTCATGGCCTCCCTCCCTCTGGGCTGAAGTGGGAGGAAGGGGTTAAAATCTTACCTTTCTCCAGCACCGGGCTTCCTCGGCGCTGGGGACTCTCCTCCTCCTTCCGACGTCATCGGCTGATTGCGCATGCGCTGCAAGAGCTGCATGCGCATTCAGACAGCCCATAGGAAAGCATTCTCAATGCTTTCCTATGGACGCTGGCGTCTTCTCACTGTGAAAATCACAGTGAGAAGTGCGGAAGCGCGACTAGCGGCTGTCAATGAGACAGCCACTAGAGGCTGGATTAACCCATATGTAAACATAGCAGTTTCTCTGAAACTGCTATGTTTACAGCAGGCAGGGTTAACCCAAGATGGACCTGGCACCCAGAGCACATCATTAAGCTGAAGTGGTTTGGGTGCCTATAGTGGTCCTTTAACAAATGCAAGTAGCTGGTGAACTTAAACAGAATCATTTCCAAATGAGAATTGTAGCTTACTTTATCAAAAAATAGAACTAGAATTAACTGAGACAACCTCATGAGGCCGTTTATATCCATTGACATGCTTGGTTAAAGAAAAGGCAGTGCTTACAATGCTGAACCTACAGGGTCAATCTCTTTGTTTCAGAACCTCTACATTAAACTGTAGTGGCTCTGGTGCCTAGAGCTCCCCTTTTATAAAGAGCTTTAATAAATAGCTATGTAGTTTGTAGGTTATGCAGTGTGTGTGTGTGTGTGTGTGTGTGTGTGTGTGTGTGTAAGGAACATAGGGTGAGGTGGGATAAGGATGTAGTGTGTAGGTTATGTAGTGTGTGTATGGAATATAGTGAGGTGTGGGAAAGGGATGTAGTGTGTGTGTGTGTCTGTGTAGGGAACACGGTGTGGTGCAGTATAGAGATTTAGTGTGTGTGTCTGTGTAGGGAACATGGTGTGGTGCAGTATAGAGATGTAATGTGTGTTTGTGTGTGTGGGGGGGAATATGGTGTGGGCAGTGGCGTACACACAATTCATGGGGCCCCGGTGCGAAACTGATCCATGGCCCCCCCCTGCTCCCCCCTGACACACACACACACACACACACACACACACACACACACACACACACACACACACACACACACACACACACACACACACACACACACACACACACACACACACACACACACACACACACACACACACACACACACACACACACACACACTCACTCTGTTTGTCAACCTCCTGTTTCCTACCTTTTAGGTGCAGGAGGATGACTTTCCCTGGGATCCAGTGGTTGCTCAGGCTGGTAGGAGTCAGAGTTCCCACTCTGACTCCCGCACCGTCCCCCGCTTATAGCTGGGAGGAAGTGATGGGCAGTTAATTCCTCCCAGCTGTGATGTCATCACAGGGGGCCTGGTCGCGCTGTTAAAGCACCGCAGCGCTGACTCGGGAATGTGTGGCCAGCCAGGGCCGCAACACATGGCGGCGGTCGCAGGGGTCCGCAGGGCGGTCGGGCCACCTGGAGTGACGGGCCCGGTCGCAGCTGCGACCCCTGTGACTGCGGTATGTATGCCACTGGGTGTGGGATAGGGATTGCAGCTCCGTCGGGTGTGAGGTGCAGACTGTGCTGTAACTCGCGATATCCTGAAATCAGAGCGATGCCATGGTAAGCCACGACAACACTCTGATTGGCCAGAGTTCGCGAGATACAGCACAGCCTGCAGCTCACACCCGGCAGAGTTGCAGACTGTGCTGGCCTTCTCCCTGGGCATAATGGACTGAGGACCCAACTAGTCACTCTGCTGCTAGCCCGAAGCAGGGCTAAAAGAAAAAAGAACTACCTGTTATGCAGTTCCGGGCGATAGGAATTGCGCATCCCTGGTGAAATTGTTACTGTAATTTATTGTTAAATGCAATTTTTTAAGACTTTGTGTTGGTTGGTATCAGTTTTTAAAGGTTTGGAAAATGTAAACATTTTTCTACATTTATTAAAGTGGCGCATCCGATAAAAAAAAAAGAAAAAAAAAAAAAAAAAAAAAGTTAGGGCAGGTTATAGGTGATTTTCAATTATTTACCCAGTGGTGTAATTTACAGACAAGTAACAAATTCTGCTTCAATAATCTCTCCAAACCGCATAACCACTAAAGCCTTCTGTACTGATTATGGTGTCAGGTGCCCTGCCAGTAGAATTTGCCAGCTGCTGGGCGCCCCAGCATAAGTTGGATTTGTCTATTCTCCTATGCTTGACCAACACACATCCATGCTCAGCTGACACTCTCCACAAATAATTGTGACTCTGCATTGCCCTCATTAGCTAAGTAAAGCTAACTGGATTGTACTGCTGGGCAATCCATGAAGCAGATAGGCACATGTGGGTTCCTGGCAGGTGCCAGGTAAGATGTCCGACAGTTCTAAAATAGTCTGACTTCATAACCACTACAGCAAAAAACAAACCGCAAACTCTTCAAACAAATATTAGAAAGGTACATTTCTCAGTATGTACCATTGGGTAATAAATAAAAAAGAAACAAATTGAAACCAATGTAGCTTAGTAGAGAACTAAAACAATAGATTAAAAATAAGAAAAGGGTGCTTAAATCGGACAAATCAGAGGCATCCTATATAAGATATAAGGAAGCCAATAATGCTTGCAAAAAGGCAATTAAAGTGGCTAAACTAGAAAATGAGAAATTGATAGCCAAAGATTGCAAAACCAACCCCCACATTTTTTTCAAGTACATCAATTCTAAACAAAATAAAAGTGTAGGTACACTGGAAACAGAGATAGGTCTGTGTAACTGAGCTCCCTGTCCCCCGGCTGGGTACCTCCGCCAAGGATTGCTTCCTAGTTGGAGGACAAACCGCAGCACTTCTGCCCACAATCGCCGTGGCTTGACTGGGGCACTGGAACAGCTCTCTCTTGGACCCAAATGGGGAATTCACTCTAGACACCCCCAGGCACTGGATGACACTCAGTTCTGGGAGCTCTAGTCCCTACAAGGACTTTCCCTGTTGAACTCTCCACACTGGAACAATGATTAAAGAGTAGCCCTTTCCCCTCCCAGTAACCAGACAGCACATAGTTCTTTGAGTACAAGCTGGAATCCTTTAATGGCAGCCATAACTGGCCTTGTATGCATGTCACCATGCAAGGGGCACAACCGCCAACATATCCAAAAATCACCCAGATCAGTTCAGGGGTTCAGGAATTTCCTTGAAGTCATTTGTTTGACAGACCGCACGCATGGTCCCATGCCCAAAACAGTTCAAAAGAATCGGGGATTGCGGTCGGTCTAGTTCGGTAGTTTAAAAACGAACAAACTACTGAACATAGTCAATAGTCTTACCTTGGAGCTTGTTTCCCTTGTTCGTGGAAACGTATCCACCGAACAGTGTCTTTCTAAGTGTTGTCGAACCGAATGCAGGCAATCATGGAAGTCCAGAGGTGTTCGGGAGTTTCAGTATCCGAAAAAAGTTCCATGAACTCGACGACCAAACCCTGCTGCCTGCGTTCATGCAAACAAGATGGTTGCCACCCCATGCTAAATTTCAACTTTTGGATGCATGAAGGCTTCAATGTGGATTATCGCTTTCAAGTTGATCACAAGCTATATGATTCCTCTTTGTGACATTTATTCGTAAAATGCCTACAGAGCAGGTTTATCGGATATATCCGACATGTGTTGTTTGTTGATAACTGTTCGGTAGCTGAGTGATTTTATTTTACTTTTACTTTTCTTTTTTCTTTGTTTGGGAAGAGCAAATGAAAGGGGGAGTTCGGAGCCACAAGTCAGTTTTTTAGGATCCTTCATCAAAATTATAAAGAAAGTGTGATAATAGTTGATTATGATAGTAATATAATTGCATGTTCTTACATTATGATTTGTTGTAGGAACTCCACGCTCATCTTAATGGATCCATAAGTTCTACAACCATGAAAAAGCTGGTGTCCAAAAAACCACACCTGCAGATCCAGAATGGCATGACTATGATTGACAAAGGCCAGAAACGGACTCTAGAAGAGTGAGTGCATTACTGAATGTCAATTTATTGGTTAGGTGTTTCACGGCCCTAGTTCAGTATTTTAATTGTCTTGGAGAAGTATCCATAAAGTACAATACCCTAAAGATAATAATAAATCTGCAAAACAAATATAGAGGTCTTGGTGAGGAGGATAACTCTCTTTATAGGATACTTCAGTATACCTTTTAAAATTGGAGGTATAAAGGAGGAACACTGGGTGGCAGGGCATCAAGAAAGCTTGCCAGGGTCACCATTTGTGTCACAGATTACATCATTTATTTCAAATGGTGGTATTTAATAAATTCTTTATTTTATTTGTGCATGTTATTAACAAATGGGTTTGCCTTACCACAACAGCAGGAGCAAACCAAACTATGTACACATGAAATCAACATTATGGCATTAAAGACATTGCACAGATTTTGTATTAAGTTGTCAGGATGAGCATGTGTATGATGGCATATTGCGGTACAAGGTGAACAAGAAAATTAGGTGATAACTGGTCATGCCAGGTGAAACTCTCGTATTGGCTATTAACATTATTATCTGTACTAGACTTAAGTTAAAGACAATCATGTATAGCTCAGTGCATAAGAGAGAGTAAACAGAAAAAAAAAATTGTTATAAGGGAAAGCAAGTGTCTGAGAGGTATCCCTGTAGTGAACTGTAGTGAGAGCTGTTAATGTAGAGCCAACGCTTATGGGGTCTCCCTCTCTCCTCTGTAGAGGCAGGATTGGGGTACGCTATCAACCCTCTAGGGTGATACCAGAGAGGGGGGGGGGGAGGGTTTGTATGCTTACATGTCATGCATGGCAAAGAGCACCAAAATGGTTGGGACCGGTGTGGTCAGTTCTCCGAGCTGGTTAAACACCTGCGTAGGGTGTTCCCCGGTATGTGACTGTGTGTCGTTGTTGTTGTGGGTGTATATGTGGGTCTTTAGGACAAAAAACAAAATAGTATGATAAGGCAATAATTAGGTGGTATCATTAGGTAAGTCCTGCTATAGTGAGAGGCTGTCATTTCCAAGCAGACTTCTGCTTCAGGTTGTAGGTCTGGATGTTGAGGGGTCACGAGCAGTGCTGGGTATGAACTCTTGTATTCTAGCCGGGTCTATGCGTGCCAGTCCTGATCCAGCGGCAGTGTCAGGAGAAATAAAGCCCAGCCTGCTTAGGTGGTCCTCGAGTTCTTGCAGGGTGCGCATTCGGCATGATTCCCCCTGCACCTGATATAGGAGAGACCTCGGCATTCCCCAGTGATAGGTAATGTCTCTTGCCCGCATGAGCTGCAGGAGTGGGCGCAGAGAGCAGCACCATGCCAGTGTGTTCCTGGTGAGGTCCGGGAATATCTGTATCGTGGCTCCCTCAAATGGTATCGGGTTCTTCCCCCTTACTGCTGCGAGGAGAAGGGCCCTGTCCTGCAGAGATTGGAAGCGAACATTAAGGTCCGGCATTGTAGAAGGGGGTGTCACCGTTGGTTTTGGGATGTGGAACATACCATCGAGATTGATCGCTTTTGCTTGTTTAGGCGGCAGGTGAGCCGTGAGAAATCTCTGTAGAAAGTGAGGTAAGTCCAAGACCCCCAGCGATTCCGGCACACCTCTGAACTTGAGGTTGTACTGTCTCCGCATGTCTTCAAGTGTGTCTAGTCTGTCTGTTGTAGTGGCCTGCAGCTTTTCAAGCTCTGCTACCCTTTTCTCCACCATAGACAGTCTGGAGTCGTGGGTGCTGTGCGCCGCCTCCAGCTGGGCAATTTTCGTCATTGCATTCTCCACATTCTCTTGAAAGTGGGCCATGTCTCCTGCGATATTGGTGCGTAGCTCCACCAGCATCGCTTTCAGCACAGTTGCAGTGACAGGCTCCCTGTCATCCAGCTTCCCTGGCATGGGTCCCGAATTTAGATTGGCGGCATCACCTTCCACCGTGTCAACGGAATAGTCCTCTGAGGAATAAGAGGAACCCTCCTCGAGGGCCGCCATCTTGTCCCACGCGGCCTGTTGTTTGTTGCGGTGCGGAACAGTTCCCCGATGTCCCGGCTTGGGAAGTCTTTGTCGGCTTTGGGCTTCTTGTTTTTCCGACCCATTTTGATTGCTCTGTAGTAGGTAAGGTTTGTAGCCTTCTTGATTGCCAAATATCAGTTTTAAAACAAGCGAATATAATAAGTTATTGCGGAGCTCGGAGAAAGTGTGTCCGCTCTAGTTCTCTGTCAGGCTCCGCCCCCCGATTACATCATTTACAGCGGATCATCCACTGAGCATTTCTGAAGTACTCTCGTATGGGTCCAATGCCAAGATCTTATTTTTGGCATGGCTGGCAAATCGGATGATCCACTCTCATTGTTTTTTTTTTTTTTTTTAGAACTTGTTTCTGATGTCCCCATTGAGTTGTATGCTTAAAACTGCTATGTATTTTTTTCTGTTCATACTAATACACATGTGGATTTTGCACCATAAAGTATGCAAAATAAAAGGAAAAGCGCATATAGTTTTGTGTTCTGGTGCTTTGTGTGTCCCTTCTGTTTGATCATTTATTTATTAATTTTAATATTGCTATGATTAAGAGGAAACTGTGAATTTGTTGAGAATTAAGCCACTGCAGATTTAAGCCTCCTTTAACTTGTTCAGACTTGGCTTTTAAGGAACACTATAGCATTAGGAATACAAACCTGTATTCCTATCTCTATAGTCCCTAGTTCTATAGTGTCCCTGAACCCCCTCATGTGTAATAAAAATGAATCAAATAATTTTAGTTTTCCAGCACCGTGGGCTCCTTGGCACGGCTCACCTCTCTGCCTCCCGCAACATCATTATCTCTTTCGACGATGGTCCAATCCAATGCTCCTCCTAGAGTAGCATTCAGGACCTGATGTACGTAGGAGGCGAGTGCCGCACGATCATGCAAGCTTCCCTATAGGAAAGAATTGTGTTCAATGCTTTCCTATGAGTTTCCCCGTCATGTGAATGAGTTTTACTCTGTGCAGCAGAAGAGCCTCTAGTGGCTGTCAGGAAGAACACTATAGAATCTATTTAACCCTGCAACGTAAACATTGTACTTTCTAAAACAATGCATTGTTTTACATTGCAAGGTTAAAAGGACAGAGCCACTGCACTCAAACACACTCCATTCATTATAGTGTCCCTTTAATTGAAAGGGAAAAACATTTGACACAGCAATGTTAGCACAATAGAGCGGGTTTTAATTTAAGCTTTTAACTACAATGTAAAGTTACGGAGGCTCTAATTAGTCTGCTCTCATTCTTTATTTTCAGCAGTAAATACAAAACACTTATAATTATAATTGTACAGTCATATATTCCGGGGTTTATACACCGTCCCAAGCTCCCTCACCTGGATTATACATGTATTGTGACTGAGCATTTTCTACATATATATTCAATTCCTTCTGCATATGAATAATAACATTTATGCCCACATGAAAAGCAAGCTCGGTTATTGCTATTTGTTTTTCGAGCTACATTGTCCGTGTCAGTATTACATTTGGAAAGACGTGCCACACAATTGGAGAATATGTTTTGCATGGCAGAAAATGCACCACTTACTGGTTAGTTCTGTAACATTATCCTTGACTAGTAACAATTTTTTTTCCATTGAATTCACAGAATTCTGTTTCCATATTTTACTCTTTGCATTTATTTTGCAGATGTTTTGAAATGTTTCGGATAATTCACCAAGTTACGGACACGGCAGAGGACATCTTATTGGTAAGCCTATTACAGGGATAGTATAGGCACCAAAACAACTTTAGCTTACGGGGAGACTATAGTTGAATCGAAAGTAGAAGAAAATTGTCCAGTCATTCTAAAGCTCAGCCTGTCACGTTTATTATAAGACTGGTTTGACAAAAACCCAATGTAGGTTCGAAAGGTTGCTGGAAAAATTTGTTCTAATATATGTACGCTGCTGAGCTTTGGAATGCTTGGACCTTTTTCTTCTACTTTGAATTAAAGGACCACTCTAGGCACCCAGACCACTTCAGCTTAACCACTTAACCACTTCAGGTCCAGCTAGGATTAACCCATTCTTTTTATAAACATAGCAGTTTCAGAGAAACTGCTATGTTTATGAATGGGTTAAGCCTTCCCCCAAAGCCTCTAGCGGCTGTCTCATTGACAGCCGCTAGAGGCGCTTGCGTGATTCTCACTGTGATTTTCACAGTGAGAGCACGCCAGCGTCCATAGGAAAGCATTGATAATGCTTTCCTATGCGACCGGCTGAATGCCCGCGCAGCTCCTGCCATGCATGCGCATTCAGCCCAGGAGGAGGATCGGAGGCAGAGAGGAGGAGGAGAGCTCCCCGCCCGGCGCTGGAATAAAGGTAAGTTTAACCCCTTTCCTCGCCATCCAGCCCGGCAGGAGGGGGACCCTGAGGGTGGGGGCACCCTCAGGGCACTATAGTGCCAGGAAAACGAGTATGTTTTCCTGGCACTATAGTGGTCCTTTAATGTTTGTGCTAGCCCCTGGCCTAGTGCACCCAATTACTATTCATATGAAATGAATACAATTCCTTTAAATCTTAAAGACACACTATAGTCACCAGAACAACGGGCGGTTAATGTAGGTGTTATGGTGTTTATAGCTTGTCCCTGCAGCCCTTTTCATGTAAACACTGCCTTTCTACTACTGCCTAATAACTCGAATAGTGACAGCCACTCAGACGTTGTTAGTGTGCAGCGCCTACTTGCAGCGCCTACTTGCAGCATCTCCACGCTCTGCATGAAGACGCTGAATGCTCCCAATAGAGATGCATTGATTCAAAGCATCCCTAAGTGGAGATGCTGATGGGTACAGCATTGCATTTCGTCTCACGTGCGCCATAGCCTCCCAATGCTTCCTGACGGGATGGGGACAGCTGCTGTGAGACCGGTGCTGCCTTGGGGAAAAAGGTTCAGTTTAAACACCTTTTTTAAAGTAGAGAGGAGGGCCGGGGAACTAAGCTGTTATTTTACCACTATAGTGTCAGGAATACATGTTTGTGTTCTTGCCACTATAGTGTTCCTTTAATAAAGCAGTTTAGGTGTATAAATAATGTCCCTGCAGTCTCACCGCTCCATTCTCTGCCATATAGGAGTTTAATCATTTTGTTTCTGTTTATGCAGCTCTAGCCACATCCTCTCTGGCTGAGACTGGTACAGCCAGCATGACAAAATTGTTTCATTTTCAAAACAAGGTCATACTGACTTTAGTTTGTGTTCCCTGCTCTGTAAATTGAAATTGAATCACACACTGGAGGCTTCTGCAGACTCTAGCACGTTATTAACAGTGCAGGAGACAGACTGTGCAATAAAGGAAGTAAACATTGGATCTCTCCTTACAGCAAATGTTTATGGAGACTGTGTAGGGATGCATAAACAACGTATATGACTCCTAAGGGCAGATACTTGAACAGTTAGACTGCAGGGGCACGATCTATACACCAAAACCCACTCCATTAAGCTAAAGATGTTTTGGTGACTATAGTATCCCTTTAGTGATTCTCAAAGCAAAACTATACATTGCTCTGCTGAAATCATCAATATATTTATAGGTTAAAATATATAATTACATGAAAATTGCATGTTTCTCCACTAAGATGGAAGCAGGAAATGAATGTGTTCACCTGCATGTACAATGATCTGCCTCAAATTAATGCTCACAGCAATCTACTTAGCTTACACTTGCTCCCAAATGGAAGGAGCAAATACTGTGATTGCATGGATTCCTGGCTTTTCTTGTGTCCCAAGGACATGTGTGAAGGATACTACATTACGGTATCAAATGAAGTGTCTTCTGTTGTAATAGTCTTCAGAACCTACACCCTGAAGTACGGTCAACTTTGTATTTTGTATTTTTGGGGTGTGTGTATGTGTGTGTGCATATGTGTATGTATATATATATATGTGTGTGTGTGTGTGTATATATATATAATTTTTAAAGCTCTAATGACTTTCTTACAAGTTTCTTGCCAATATGTTTTAAAGGGGCACTCTAAGGACCATGACCATACGGAGCACTGTCGGAAGCCACTGGCACCATCCCACAGTAATTGGTCACCTACCTGGATTCTTGCAGCCCTTCTAGTCTTCTGTTATGTTGCAAACATGGAGGTTCCTCTCCAGCTTTATAGATTAAAAAGATTATTAAATATGCGATATATATATATATATATATATATATATATATATATATATATATATATAATTCATTCCCCCCCCCCCACCCCCCTGCAATTTTAGATATCATTCATAGGCTGGAAGTGTCAGCTGATATCACAGAAGTATAGAACCACAGGCACCTGATAAACTTAGGGCAGTGTGGGAGGGGTCTTCTGACACCATAATCACTACAGCCTACTGGAGTTGTTGTGCTGCCTAGAATGCAATTTTAAGATGCAGATATTTATAGAAATATTCTTTTGAGAACTTTGCTGTGTATATTAATATTGTCTTTTATTTAGGTAACAAAAGATGTTATCAGAGAGTTTGCAGCAGATGGTGTCAAATATTTAGAATTAAGAAGCACACCTAGAGAGTCTCCTTCAGGTACAACAAATAATGTTTACTTGTACACATGTACTGCACATACAGTTGTTCCTCTATTTAACAGGATGTTATTATAGTCAATCAAACAGATTTGCTTGCCTACATTAGGATAGACTTTGGGCACAACGTATGCATTGTCACAGTAGCTGCCCATTCTTGTGTCACTTGTGATTCTGGACGCTGTATCAAAGTGCCCAAGTATAATATTTGTGCGCAGTAATTACTCAAATGGTGTAAATGTCAAAATATGTTTTTTAACTTATTCTGGTACAAGCCAGTGGTCTGTCTTGTACCCAGTACAGTGTCCCTAGATGGTTGTGATAGTTTGACTTGTCTTGACCTTCCTGTTGTATCATCTGTCTTGGTTCTGTCTCAATGTCTGCTTGTACTTTGTCTATTTTCTTGTCTCTTTTTGCATCAAGCCCAGCCACACCAAGGATCAGTAATGTGTCTCCTATTCTGTACATCTGTTATTACTAGCTAAGTTGGTTTAAATACTGCGTGCTGGGCTACCTCTGAATCATGACACACAACCTGCTTGTAGAGTAACATAGCAGCTGGGGGTTATCTACCTCTGATCAACCTCCATATTTTATAACTCACATCGATTTGGATAGGAAACTAGAGTAATCTAAATAAATGTTTATGTAAGAAGCCTTAATATGTGGTTGTTTTGTAAACTTGTGTTGCTTTTTACAGGCATGAACAAAAGAACATATGTGGAAACTGTACTTGAAGGGATCAGACAATGCAAAGAAGAGGAGTTAGATATTGATGTCCGGTACTTACACTTTTTATTTATTTATTTATTTATTTATTTATTTTAGGAGCTATTTTAGGCATCAAAACAACTTTAGCTTAAAGGACCACTATAGTGCCCTGAGGGTGCCTACACCCTCAGGGTCCCCCTCCCGCCGGGCTTTAGGGGGTAGAAAGGGTTAAACTTACCTCTTTCTCCAGCGCCGGGCGGGGGACTCTCCTCCTCCTCCTCCTTTCCTCCCTCTTCTTCCGTCACCGGCTGAATGCGCATGCGCCGCAAGAGCCGTGCGCGCATTCAGCCAGTCCATAGGAAAGCATTCTCAAAGCTTTCCTATGGACGCTGGCGTCTTCTCACTGTGAAAATCACAGTGAGAAGCGCGGAAGCCCTCTAGCGGCTGTCAATGAGACAGCCACTAGAGGCTGGATTATCCCATAGGTAAACATAGCAGTTTCTGTGAAACTGCTATGTTTACAGAAAAAAAGGGTTAATCCTAGATGGACCTGGCACCCAAACCACTTCATTAAGCTGAAGTGGTCTGGGTGCCTATAGTGGTTCTTTAATGAAGCAGTTCTGGTGCACACCTTTACTGACAGTGACTCACACAGCCTGCATGAACAAATTGGTTTCATTTTCAGTCATATCTCTCTTACTTTAGAGGTTTTTACCTCCTGCTCTGTAACTTGAAGTATAATTAAACCGTGAGACTGTAGGAGCATGATCTATACACCAAAGTACCTCTTAAAGCTAAAGTTGTTTTGGTGCCTATATGATCCCTTTAAGTAACATGTACAAATAGTACAAATTCATTGCAAAAGGACAAGGACAAAAACTAAATTCTTCCTCCTCAGTACCTGTTGTAAAAATAAACTTGCAACTACCATAGTTTATTGTGGGCCCTGTCACGCGTTACGACTTCTCTGAAATTTTGAGGGCACATTAATGGTGTTTACAAAAATATGCACAAAAAGGCCATGGATGGAAAATACACATTTATTTTTTTTTTCTTCCGAAAATAGCAAATTTAGAGTTTCTTTTGGAGCGTTGACTTTGCATTGCTGCTTTTGGCCACACATCTTCCACTTCATTCAAATCTCTTTTTTGTTTTGCTAAAAAAAAATTGTAAAAAATGCAGCTTTCTACAACATAACCGTTACTTCTTCTTCACCAACGGCCAATCACAGCCCTCTTATTATCTGCCCAGGCCAGGTCTTGGCATAAAAGGAGCCACATTAGGCTCTATAACCATTTTAATATTATTAATTTGGTTATAATGCCTTGAGTCTCTGTTTCATCAATACGGTTGGCGGGAAGGTACAGTGATCACCTAGTTCCTACATGTTTCGTAGGACTGCTACTACCTCATATACTGGCGATAACTGTTTTCAGCCACATACTCTGATCAGCCACAACTTTAAAACCACTGACCGGTGAAGTGCTACGCGATTATTATTGTCCGCTGCTCTTCCTCACAAAATAATATTATGTCGGTTTCTGCGGGGCAAGATTCCGTACTCCTTTGAGGAGTACATTCTACTAAGAACCCACTTGGTCCTCACTTCAATGCCGCCAGTCTCTTAATTATGTCACACAACAGCTGCAGACGGACAGAATGGAATACAGATGAGGAGCACCTAGGTCCCTCGTTGTAACTTCTAATGGGACTGTTCATAAATTCTCTACCAGAGACGCATCCATTTTTCTTAAGGCTCTGGAACTCTGTATATAGTACAGCAGCAGCCAATCAATCTACTTCACATACCTTAGCTACCATTTAGATCAGGCTTCTCCAAACTCCGGCCCACCAGATGGTACTGAACTACAACTCCCATGATTCTCAGCCTATGTATTTCATTCATAGAATCATGGGAGTTGTAGTTCAGCAACATCTGGAGGGCCGGAGTTTGGGGAAGCCTGATTTAGATTATAGAAGGGTTATAATATTTGCTATTGTAAAATAACTTTTATCAACACAGACCTCCATTCTCTTGTCATACCTTGGCCACTGGCTAGAATCATTTTGCCATTCTTATTATATTAAAATAAAACAGGGATAGAACTCATGGCGTACATCCTTTGGCATATCGTGTAATACTCCTTTTGCTTTTATTGAAACATGGATAAACTTTTAAAATTATAAATACAAATACTTTTAAAGCTTCTCCAACAATACATATAATTTAATACAAACATACAAAATTAAAGGACCACTATAGTGCCCTGAGGGTGCCCCCACCCTCAGGGTCCCCCTCCCGCCCGGCTCTGGAAGGGGGAAAGGGGTAAAAACTTACCTTTTACCAGCGCTGGGCGGGGAGCTCTTCTCCTCCGATCCTCCCCGTCGGCTGAATGCGCAGGATTTGGGGGAAGGCTTAACCCATTCATAAACAAGAATGGGTTAACCCTAGCTGGACCTGGCACCCAGACCACTTCATTAAGCTGAAGTGGTCTGGGTGCCTAGAGTGGTCCTTTAAGCCATGCGCTCAAACTCCCACTGCTCCTGGGCAGCAGCAATGACCATGGTACACATCAGCCCCAATACATTTAATAAAAACAAAAAAAAATGTACTTGCACACTATCCCAAATCCTTATGCACATTTAAATAACTGGAGTATTTTTAGTATCACCCCAATGGCCTTTCAATTCTAAGCTCACCTGCCACTCATTTGAGACCTAATGTTGCTGTTAATTTTATGATTTCTTAATAAATCCGCTATCCTATTTGCTTTGAGTGCCTGGATCACATTGCTTTTCCTACTTATAAAAGGTTAAGTGAACGTCATAATATGCTATGTCACTTTCTGGTCAGGACAGAGCTCACTGTAGAAACCGCAAAGCCTTTTATTGACTTGTTCTACGCTAAACCATTGCCAACTGAGTGGTCCAAAATTCTCACTTGTTGTTTTTAAGTTGTTAATCGTTTATTTTACCATTATAACAATAGTGTATTATGTGAGATTTTCTCGCGGGACATACAATGAAAACAGTTTATAGCAGTGTTGGTAAAGGATAATTGCAGGGTATACTTGCAGACTTGTGCGATCTATTCGTATTATGTGTCGTTTTGTTTTTCTCCAGATTTTTATTGGCAATCGATAGAAGGGGAGGCTCTACAGTAGCCAAGCAAACTGTCAAACTTGCTGAAGATTTTTTCAGTTCATCTAATGGATTGGTTCTGGGTTTGGATCTCAGTGGTGACCCAACTGTGAGTTTTACATCTCTGCTCTTTCATTCCTTAAATGACTTACTTGTATGCATGATGAATGTGCTATTGTTTGTTCAACCTCAGTAGACAATAGCGGTTCCTTCACATACAAAGTGATTAAGAAAAACAAAACACACAGACATAGATTTTCAATGTTAAGTGGAACTGCTTCTAATTGAAATTGTATGGGACACGCTCTTGTATTTTGAGGGATTACCTTCCCAAAGCATTCTTAAATTCTAAATCAAATATTTTTTGTTTTAAAAGTATTCTCAAAATTTTTTTATAAGATGCTCAACTTGCACTTAAACATAGGGTAAAACAGCATTTTTTTATTTATTTTGTTTAGATAAATGAAAATAAATTTGTATAACAATGATGCGTCATTACCAGATCCATCCTTAAAGAAATATTGAAGAGAAGTGGCATGTTTATAAAACCATGTATTTAAAAATGCATATATCTAATTTGTAGATATATATCCAGATGTAAACTGCAAATAGTGCTACCTTAGTGCTTATCATCACTTACTGTTGTTGTGTGACTTTAGAACAAAACTGGCTTTATCTACTGTGTCCCATCTGTTGTTGGATATATGCATTAGTGAGATAACCTATACTACTTGATGTTTGAGTGTGCTAGCTGAACTTTGGGTATAGATATATTCTTAGTAATTCGAAAAGCCCTCTGAAAGAAAGAATTAATATAATTTGAATGTGATAGAAATAGACTCCAACATTTATTATGTTTTATTTTACTCTGTTGTTCTTTGGCAGATATGCCATCTGTAAGGTTTTGCAGAGGCTATTTGCACTTAAGAAAAAGCTGTTACATGCAAAGAAATGACAGTACTTCATTCACCCGCCCCAGTAAATGCTACTGCAGCATATACCAGGGTAAATAAAGCAGTGGAGGTAAGTATCAAAAACGTACTCTGTGCATTTCTGCATTGTGGGCTTCTGTGCTGGACCATGATGCTTTGGGTGCACCCATGTGCACTTTGACATCATTGAAAATAATTGTGTACAAGCACATGCACACTTGGCAATGCGGACGGCACTGCAAGATTTAACTAATTTAAATGCGTAGCATGGTTGTTACCCGGCACGGTATGTAAATTGCAATAATTTTGTAAATAATTAAATTAAAATAAATAAAACTTTCAGGTATTTGTTTGGTTGTGCTAAAATCTGTGAAGTGGCAGGTTCTTTTCAACAGCACATAATGAGTAGCTAATCAATATAAAGAATAAAAGTAACATTGATGGCCATATTTGTTTTTTGTCTGCTTGAACTTAGAGCTATTTAGATGTGAACTAAGGGGAAAAAAAAAATCACATATAGAAATTTTACAAACTAAAAACAAGCATACAAACCATACATAAAGATAAACACAAAAAGAATTCAGCGCTAGTAATCACAAAATTAGTCAAGGTAGGCAGCAACCCAAATGAAGGAAAACCCCTCGGGTCCTTCGGTGGATAGAAACAAAAAGATATGGAAGGGCTGCGCCAAATAAGGGTAGATAGTCCAGTAAAGTATTGCTAGGGTGCCAATAGATGGTCTAGGATACTTGATAGAGTTCCTCTGTGGATGCGTCTGGTGTAGACCGTTCCGTATATGTAAATACAAGAGAGGTAGAGGCGACTAATGGTATAGTATGAAAGTTCAGGGTGTGATAGGTAACAAAAAGTAAAGAACTCACATTCAAGAGAGCTATGGCCAGCTCTGGTGTGGATTGCGTACAGCGGTATAATCCCCGCTTATGGGATATGTAGGGAGGGGGTCTCCGTCAACACCGTCTGGTAGTCCAGAACTCGGAAAAGAAAGACAGAAAGCAACAATAGTGCTCTCAATTTTGATGTGGTTCAATGTGCAGATAAGAGGTAAAAAACTCACATTTGAGGGAGCTATGGCCAGCTCTGGTGTGGATAGCGTACAGCGGTATAATCCCCGCTTATAGGATATGTAGCGGCGATACGTCCGTCAGCACCGTCTGGTGATCCAAGGCTCCAATATAGAAGAATAAAAAGCAGCAATAGTGCTCTCAATTGTGATAGGTTAAGAGAGTAGTAGAGAAAATAAAATAATACTCACAAAGATAGAGCAGAGGTACTGCTCTATGGATAGGCGCCGGTGGTATGATCCCCACCTAAGATTTCTTGGAGTACTGGAACTTTAAAATTGCCAGTGGAAGTAAAAGTAACCAGGAAAGGTTAAAATGCCAGGAATAGGTAAAAACAAAAGTTGTTTAAAGTGCATAAAGAGTGCAATAAAAAGAGGATTGGTACAATAAAGTAGCCAAAAAACTTTTATTGATCTAAAATACACAGTAAAATACAGAATTAATAACCATAAACGCGTTTCACCATAAGTGGCTTCTTCAGAATGGGATAAAAGTAGTAACCTGGCAGGAGTTGTTTAAATAGGGCTATGTTAATTTGAAAATTGCGCCAAAAGTGTAATTGGCCAATCAGAGACAATTTTTAAAATCACTTTTCAAAATTAGGATTCAAGAGTATGGGAGTGATGTTATAAAGGTGATGAGTCCATTTAAATTATTTAAATGTGAAAACTAGAGTGAGAAAGTTGTTTTTAAAGAGAAAGAAAGGAAGAAAAAAAAAAAAAGTTGTTTGATTAAAGTTCAAAAAAAAAAGTTTGATTAAAGTTCATTAAAAGAACAAAAAAAAAAATAGATGGTTTAAAGGTACAGAGATACAGAGATATATGTAAATGGAGTATGCATGAAAAGGGGGTAATATAATTCCAAACATAATGATTTAAATAGGGGTTATATTATACCCCAGAGTAATAATACAGATGTTAAATGAAAATAATAGATAAAATGAAAATAAAATTAAATAAAAGATAACACAGAATACAAGATACATAAATGGAAAGGCATAGATGAAAAAATAAAACTTAAAAGATTATTATTATTATGAGGGTTGGTTAGGTCCAGACATAAAGAATAAAAGCATGAAGATAAGGGTTGTGTATAGGAATTTAAATAAAATTAAACAGGTCAAAATCAACATTTAAACCAGATGGGGTAAGAGTTTTGAGATTAAAAACCCATTCCATCTCAGCTTTACCTAATATGTTCTTAATGTTACCACCTCTCCATGGTATTATACATTTTTTTATGCCGATGCATTTAAGGTGTCTTATGTCGTTGTTATGTGTACAAAAGTGTTTGGAGACTGAGTGATTCAGGTAGCCTTTTTTGATATTTCTACAGTGTTCACTCAGTCTCACTTTAAGACTTCTTGTGGTCATCCCTACATACTGGAGACCCATACATGTCTGTTAGTCCACCCATTGTACAGCGCTACGGAATCTGATGGCGCTATATGAATAATAATAGTATTAATTGGATTACAAACAGGGGTCAAAGGGCTCAGAGAACCAGCAGTCGTGACCATTGATTCTAATAATGTCCACAGGGACATCCTGTGCTCTCAGTCTAACACACTGGGCTTGTGGAAGATATGTGATTTTGATGACCGTCCCAAAGATAGCAAGCTATGTCATGGCATAGTGCACTGTTACTGGATACAGGTTGCATCTTCTTGTAGACTGGGTTAAAAAAAATATATATATATTTTCCAACAATGACCATGTGATTGTCTGCTTTTAATGCCTTAAGTAGCAAGACTGCTGTCTTTAATAAATCAAGTGCTACTGAAGAGTAATGTCCTCCTTTTAGCTCATGAAATCAGGCAAAATATAAAAAAGCCAAAAAACACTTTTTTTCCATTGACTGTTTTGTTAAATAGTACTGGGGCCTAAATGATCATTTACTATAAGGTATGTTTCATTAGCCATCTGGATAGTATGGATTAATTTGTACTGAAAGTCAGATATATTTATGTTCTGGAAAATCAAAATTAGAAACCGCTTCTGATACATGAAGTTCCACCATTGTAAATGCAGATGTTTGGATGCCTAACATGCAATCATAGCTTTAAATGAACAGGATAGATAGAATAAAACCTAAGCAAACTATAGAAATAAGCTGATGTTTGTTCCAAATTAAGTGCCGTTCTAGACGATCGCTCTGCTGTTCGTCCCCCAGCTAATCTTACCGTACACTGTTTGTTTGTTTTGTGGTTTTCTCTAGTATGGAGTGTCTCTTACGGCAATGCCTTTCTGACACTTGGATAGGGGTCATAGGGTGCATGTCAGGAAGCCTGTTTGTTTGCTGGTGAAATCAGAGATTATTTCCACTAACTCTATTTAAACTGATGCCACCATGAACCGCCTTGTAATGACACAGAGCTTTAATGAACACCACTGTAATATTCATACATTGCCCAATGTGTCAAACATGATAGTTACATGGGCTGAAAAGAGATGTGTCCATCAAGTTCAGCCTTCCTCACATATGTTTTTGCTGTTGATCCAAAAGAAGGCAAAAAAACCCAGTCTGAAGCGCTTCCAATTTTGCAACAAACTAGGAAAAAATTCCTTCTTGACCCCAAAATAGCAGTCAGATGTCTCCTTGGATCAATCAGCTATTACCCACTAATTAGAAATTATATCCCTGTATGTTATGTTTTTGTAAGTATTTATCCAATTTCAGTTTAAACATATGTATGGACTCTGACAAAACCACCTCTTCAGGCAGAGAATTCCATATCCTTATTGTTCTTACTGTAAAAAAACCTTTTCTTTGTCTTAGATGAAATCTCCTTTCTTCCAGCCTAAATGTGTGACCTCGTGTCCTATGTATAGCCCTGTTTATGAATAGATTTCCAGATAAAGGTTTGTACTGGCCCCGAATATATTTGTATAATGTTATCATATCCCCTCTCAGGCGCCGTTTTTCCAAACTAAACAGATTTAATTTTTTTAACCTTTTTTCATAACTAAAATGCTCCATTCCTTTTATCAATTTTGTAGCTCGTCTCTGGACCCTCTCCAGTGCCATGATATCCTTCTTTAGAACAGGCGCCCAAAATTGCACAGCATATTCAAGGTTTGGTCTTACCAGCGATTTATAAAGAGGCAAAATTATATTTTCATCCTGAGAATTTATGCCCCTATTTATACATGACAAAACCTTACTGACCTTAGCAACTGCAGATTGACATTGCATATTGCTGCCTAATTTGTGGTCTATAACAATTCCCAAATCCTTCTCGTGTGTGGTTATCCCTAATTCAATACCATTTAGGATGTAAGCTGCTCATGCATTCTTGACCCCGAGGTGCATCTGCCATTTTAGTGCCCAGTCCCCCAATGTATCTAAATCCCTCTGCAGCAAAGCAATAACCTGCTCACATTTTATTACTTTACAAAGGTTTGTGTCATCTGCAAACACTAAAACATGGCTTTTAGTGCCTACTGCAAGATCATTTATAAATATGTTACATAGAAGCAGTCCCAAAACAGAACCCTGAGGGACACCACTTACCATTTTTGTCCAGCTTGAAAACGTACCATTAAGAACAACTCGTTGTACTCTATCGTTAAGCCAATGTTTTATCCAAGAACAAGAATATTCATCTAGACCAATTTATTTTAGTTTGAAGACTAACCTAATGTGGGGAACCGTATCAAATGCCTTGGCAAAATCCAAGTAGATCACATCCACTTCAACACCCTGATCTATACTGCTACTTACTTATAGTTAAGTTAAGCTCACAGGTCTATAATTTCCAGGCAAGGATTTTGAACCCTTTTTAAATATATGAACGACATCTGCCTTCCTCCAATCCTCCGGTACAATACCAAAGCAAAAGAATCTTGAAAGATTAAATACAGAGGTTCACTTATTTCCCCACTTAGATCTTTAAGTACTCATGGGTGAATACCGTCAGGCCCTAGGGTTTTATTTACCTTAATTTTCTTTAACTGCTGTAGCACCTTGTCTCGAGTCATCCAATCACAAGTTTTTTGCAGCAATCATTTGCATATCATATTGGCATAGGATCCTCATTAATATATACTGAAGAAAAATAGTTATTTAAAATGTCTGCCTTTTCCTGGTCTTCATGTTGGGTACCCTTGACATCAGAAGAGGCTAATAATATTTTCCGTCTTTTCGGAGATGATTCATACTTCTTTGTGTGGGTTTGATGTATAACTTAAAGGGACACTGCAGACTCCAAAACCACCTAAAGGGACACCATAGGCACTCAGAAAATTTCAGCTCATTGAAGTGGTCTGGGTGCATATTCCCAGGTCCCTTAACCCAGCAAAGGTAATTATTGCAGTTTTTACGAAAGTCCCCACTATAATGGGCTTTAAAGCCGTTGCGGCGGCATAGAATGCCGAAATGGCTTAAGCTCCCAGGAGCTCAGCGGTATTCACCTCTGCCACGATCCTCTTCGGGAGGACTGCCTGACAGCCCAGGCAGCCCTTCCCCTGGCAAATATGGCCCCCTATAGCTGGCTGTGGATCTGCCAGCAGGGGGACTGTCTGAGCTCAGACAGTACCCCACTGGTGGGTAGTGTAAAAATAAACATGTTTAAAATTAATTAAAAGTGTGTGTGTATGTATATATATATATATGTATAATTACAATAATAAATAAAATAATATAAAATATTAAAACATTTTTTTTAATGAATTATAGATACATATGTAATTTCATTCTAACTGTATTTTGTTATTAATATATATATATATATATATATATATATATATATATATATATATATATATATATATATATATATATATATATATATATCACAATAGTTTCTGGAACTCATCCCATAACAAAAGCATTAATTCATGACCAGGTGCCTCTCCGTGCAAAATATACAAATAGAACAAATTGAGAGCACTCATTGGATTTAGTAAACAAATAAATAAATATATTAAATCAACGTTTCGACCGCTAGACGGTCGAAACATTGATTTATATGCGTTTGATTTAATATATTTTTTTGTTTACTAAATCCAATGAGTGCTCTCAATTTGAGATATATAATATATATATATATATTATATATCTCAAATTGAGAGCACTCATTGGATTTAGTAAACAAAAAAATACAGTAAACTAAATGGTTATGTTGCCTTTGAGACCGTATGGTAGCCCAGGAATAAGAATTAATCCCATGATGGCATACCATTTGCAAAAGTAGGGAACCCAAGGTATTGCAAATGGGGTATGTCCAGTCATTTTTAGTAGCCACTTAGTCACAATCACCTTCCAAATATTTGTTCTTTGCTTTTTTAACACAAAAACGAATATGAACGCTAACTTTGGCCAGTGTTTGTGACTAAGTGGCTACTACAAAAGACTGGACATACCCCACTTGCAATACCTTGGGTAGTCTACTTTTGCAAATAGTATGCCATCATGGGGATAAATCTCATTCCTGGGCTAACACACCGTCTCAAAGGTAACATTACTAATCTGGCAAATTTTAAAGTGAAAAAAAATGAAAGATTTTATGTCCTATATTTGACCTTTTAACTTAACAACTGTTAATCGTGGCTACTGTACTCGTGAGACTTTGCTGAATCCAAATATGTGCTTTTTTTGCAGTAAAAGCCAACAGTATTATGACATTTACAGCTGAAATGTGAGGCGGAACTACACATTTTAAATTTTTTTTTTTAAATTTCTCAGTTTTTTTTAAAATTTTATTCATAATAAATTGTTTCATATATAAATATTTGATATGAAATGAAAGCCCTGTTTCTCCTGAATAAACTGATATATAATAAGTGTGGGTGCATATAATATGAAAGATGTGAATTACGGTTGAACAGACATATAGCGCAAATTCCAGTTTTTGTTTACATTTTGTTTTGATCAGAACGTGTACTATTGACTCTGTCCTGAAGAGGTTAAGTTGATATTTTATGGCCATATAGCAAAACAAATGTACCCTTCCTACACCAGCAGAGGGCAGCTAAGCCCCAATGCAGAATGCTGTGAATACTTTTAGATTTTTTTTTTACCAATCTGTGATAGGAACATTCAGTAACTTTCATGGAAAAATAAATAAATAAACTTCTTACAATTTTACAATCAAGGAAGATGACATAATGAATATGAAGAGATTACTAATAGAAAAAAAAAGATAGATCTTTTTCTTTCTGGATCACCATTTTAAATAACACACAAGCATTATTAACCTAACCTCATCTCTTGAGTATCTTTCACTAAATTGAGCATGCACATGCTTTTGGTAATATTGTTAAACCTAAGCCCCATGTCCTATTGACTTTATGACTTATAACAAGAGGTGTGAAGACAATGTTTAAACAAGTAAGGTCAAGATGTACTGCACTTTTTTTATTTTTATTTTTTTATTTTTATTTTTTAAAGAAAACAAGCTTATTCACATTAGGTCAATACATTAATAGTAAGGTCATAGAAACATGCAAAATGCAAGTAGCTTCAACTAGAGGCAGATAAAGTAAACAACCAGGCTTATTGTAAGAGATTATTATAGAGTCATAAACTTAGGTTACAGGTCTTTGTTGCAACTGGGTTCCCGCATCACGAATAGGGAGCAGACTTTACCCTTGGTATATGGATGTGAACACGTTTTGCATGGCAAATGGCGTCTATTAATCTCTGATAGTGTTCAGCATGTGGACCCATTTGCAGCGAGGGGAGCGTGGTCAGCCTACCCCACTAGTCGGCAGGTGCAGGGTGTACATTGAGAGTTCACTTGGGTTCTGCTTCCCCATCACGGTCTCGTGCCGGAGTAAGTGTGCTGGCATCATGTGGGTAGGGTACCTCGGGTGCAAAGTGCCGGTTCCGTGCTCAGGTGAGAGTTTCTTCCGCCCCTTGGCCCACAGAGGGGTCCCCTCTGTGTGTCTGCTGATTCGGGTGCTCCTGGTGGTCGGGTTCTTTACTCCCCGGGAGTGGGCAGAGGCTCGGAGTGGTGCAGAGCGCCGTCTGTGTTTGCGTGTCCGTGCCCGTTGTTGCTGGGTTGGGACAGCTCTGCGAGTGGCTCTTGGTCCCAGCAGATAGGGAGCTTTGTGGGGAGGCTTTTGGGCGCTTGGATCGCCCTGCTTGGGTTCCTGCTGTGCCAGCTTTGCGGCATGAGTGGTAGATGGCTGTGGTTGCTTGCCGAGGCGATGCCAGAACTTCTGGCAGAATGCCTCAAACTTGGCATTAAACGCTTCTCTCCACTGCCGGATCTCCAGGGTGTTCGCTGCTGCAGCCATCTTGTCTTCGCCACGTGGCATTCTGGGCTTCGTCCGCATTCCAGATGGATGGTAAGTCTTGGTTCCCAGTGGGGGCCAGGATAAGCCCCGCCGGCCCAAGGGGGGAGGGGGGGGACAGGGCTCCTGAAGTGAAGCACCACGTGCAAAGCACCCCCTCGGGAGATCGGCCGCCTCTCGCCACGGTCCGTGTCTGCCTAGGTAGGCCTCTGAGCAGAATATAGTTGTTGCTTTAGATATGGGTCCGGTCCGGACTAAACAGTGCGCTCCCAGCTTGTTTAGTAGTCTGAATGAAGCTCAGCGTCTCGTTTGGCAGCGTTTTCTATCAGAAATATCTTGTTTTTAGCTCTGTTTAGCAGGAGCCTGGTGTCCAAGCCGGCTTGGACACCAGGCTCCACCCCCTATTTCAATTGTTTTAATCCTATTTTTCTTACAAATCTCAATGGAAATGCTTTTCTGTTACATTGGAGCCTCTCTACTGTTTTCCCTTAATACATCTCTTATCCAGACAAAACGTCATTCGTAATTCCTAATGATAACCTGGTTGGATGGAAACCTCCGCCATTTTCTTTTTTATCCTGAAAACCATTTACAAAGACCATTGTGCACTTACCATGATAGAAACAAATTGAAGATTATATTAGCTTTAGTGTACTAATAATCTTAATTTTAGTAATGACAGGAGGCGAATATTTGCATATCTTTCTTTACTGAAAACTCCAGCAGCATAGAAACATAACAACCAATCAGAAAAAAGTTATGATGCCCATAAAAGGCCCTGTCTATGACATCACTTCCTCTTTCTTTGAAGCGAAACAATAAATAACAACAAGAGACATAATCATATTACGTCAACAGTTCAACAACATATTAGAATATCCAACTCCATTAGTTCCGCGATGCAGAGGTATGGAAGGTGAATCTTTGTCTCGATGAGAAGACGTTCACGCTGCAAGAAAAAGAAAAAGGTGAAAGGTATCTGGCGTGATAACTTGTCCGCATACAATAAGCATTAAGCATCTGATATACCAACGAACATTAGAATGTGAACATATTAATATATATTTATTCTAACGCAATGATATTAAGAATCTATAAACACAACATAATGCAAGGTTCATGTCTAATATTCAGCCAATACAAGACCCACAAGATACAGGTCTAAGTAGCAAACATACAAACCATACGTACTTACCTTCCTGAACATAAAGGACATATTCTGTTCAACACGAGAAACATGGGAGGGATCCTATAGGGTGGGAAATATTCGCCTCCTGTCATTACTAAAATTAAGATTATTAGTACACTAAAGCTAATATAATCTTCAATTTTACCACATGACAGGAGGCTTCATATTTGCATTTTTAAAGCTTTGAATTGACCAATGTGAAGGAAGCATGAGATGTTTGCCGAAAATAGAACGTTCTAAACGTACTCTCTCTCGCTCAGTCCGCGCAGTGTATAATGTCGGCTAGGGAAGCGTCGGCCGAAAAGGTTTGTGAGGCCGCCGCTCCCCTGACCGAGTGGGCTCCGAAACAAGGTTCGACGCTAAAGACAAAAACCAGCGGACCCATCTGGCCAGTGTTGTGGTAGGTACCGGTCCATGAGGGTTCACGTAAGAAGTCAGACGGTGATCCGTCGAATGAGTTCGAAGGGGGTAGTGTACCCCCATTAGCGTTCTGACCACGCATAGTGTGGCGTCTGACACAAAGCATGGGTATGACACTGAAGACGAATCAGACTTAGTTCGTCTCGACATGGTAAAGGTAACCCCGTCTGGTGTGAGAGAGAAACCATCCATATCGCAAGCCCTAACGTCCGCCACCGTCTAAATGAGGCGAGGCATAATAAGAGGGCTAGTTTGGCTGAAAGTTGCTTCAGTGACAAACAAGGATTGTCCGGCCATTCCCTAAGGAATCTCAGCACCACATCCACCTGCCAGAGGCGTGAATATTTGGGTGCAGGGATCTCAACAATTCGGCACCCCGCAGTAGTCGACAAACCAGTGTATCTTGACCTACTGGTCTGCCCTGTACCGGAACGTGCGCCGCCGATATGGCGGATCTGATCACGTTGAGGGATCGATATGACCGACCCAACGAGACCAGGTGTGACAGATAGTTGAGGATCAGTGGGACAGGTGCGGTAAAGGGATCGGAATCCCTTTCCACACACCAATCACTCCAGGCCGACCAGGCATAAATATAGCCTTTCCTGGTGCCGGGAGCCTATGAGTCCCATAGGAGGTCTTAGTTGATGCAATAGGTCGTGAACTGACCAGGAGCCCCTGAAACCGTCCAGGCAACTAGTGCCAGTTGTCCTTCCATGACAAGGGAGTGGGCTTCCCCTCGAGGTCCCGTCAGAAGTAGAGGGAAGGTAGGGAGTAGTAGAGGGTCTTCGCGCGACATCTCCAGGCGATCCGGGAAATCACGGTTGGCCCTGCCCGAGGGGTGTCATGAGCAGGAGCAATATCATGTGGGTGTGTGTATCGAAGCACCCTTGCTATTTTGGAGAACGGCTGGGTCACGTTTGCAGGGGTTCATCCATCGCCCCGTATCCGAAGGAAGAGTCAAAGATCGTTTTGCCAATCCAAGTTTGTATGTGAAGTAATCATCATCGAAATTCCATCCTCCCTTCCGCTGACAGTGGGATCCAGTGGTTGTATGAGTGACCGGTGCGTACGTATCTCACCATCAGTCATAGTGGGCCAGGGAATAACGCTTGTATGGAGGAGGAGAGGAGGAGAGGAATCCCACAATCCGACAGCTATCCTTATAGAGGCGCTCTTTGCCGTAGACGGACGCGGAACGTAGTTCTCCAAGCCGATGTCGAAACCGAGGAACTGGCCCGATTCAGATGGAGAAGCGATCTTTGTCTGTGTACAACAAAAACCCATGGAGTCCCGAAAGTGAACGACAAATTTGTCTGCAAACGTAGCCTGGATTCGTAAAGAATCAGCAAGTCTTCCAGGTATGCGAGGCATCGCACGCCCAAATTTACGGATGTGTGCCCTCACTGGTTACAGTAGGTTCGCGAGCACCACGGAGTCGTAAACTGCCGTGTTTGTCCTCATCATTGGAATCGGAGGAAAACTTCGGCAGTCCAGGGCAACGGGTACTGACAAGCGTGCGTCCTTGAGGTCCAGATGTGTAAACCAGTCGTTATCGCCTAGGGGGTCTTGTAGAAGACGAATTTCCTCCATCTTGCAGCATTTGTATACCATGTAGGGGTTCCATTGATGTAGTCTCCTGGCTTCTTCTTGACCAGGAAAAATTTGCTGGGGAAGCCTTCCCCTCCGGTGCATGTTGAATTGCGCCCCTCCTGAAGAGGGTGCAGATTTTCTTGTCCACGAGGCGTTCCTGTTCCGCCAGCGTGCGTAATGGAGGTGAAGGGGCGACCTGCACGGCTGTGATAAAACTCTATGACATAGCCTTATACTGTCTGGAGAACCCAGGTGACTTTGGTAGTCGTCTCCCAATTCTGTAAAACAGAGACAGGTTGCCGGTCATAATATTGGAAACAGTTAGTTAGTTATGTAGGTTGACACACTAGTAGATGAAGCGGATGGGTTCCTTTGCATAGTAGATGGGAGAAATATGAGGACTGTGTAAACGATCTGGAACCTGTCGCCAAGAAGCGGCTGGTGGCTCGGTTCAGCTACCGACCAGTCCTCCCAGAAACATCTTTCCCCATAGGGTTGTGGAAGACTTTTAGCGAGGTCTGGGTTTAATTTAGTGTGGTGAATAAATTCACGTGTTTCTTGAGTACTGCAATGAACACTACGTCGAATAGTAGGCCTTGTGCTTTTGGGCCGAATTCTTGTCGTTCCTAAGTCCAATAGTGTGTTGTCGATGCGGCCCAGTACAGATTTGCGTCTGTCGGCGCATAGTGCGTCATTTACGTTGCCCAGGAGGCATATCGAGCATTGAGACCATTCTTTGGAGGTGGTAGGGTTGAGTTGTGTACCCTGGGGTAACTCGGTCTTGAGGCGTGCGCATCCTTCCATCCCCCGAGGGTTGCGCAGCCAATAGTGTTCGTCCAGGAACGTTCCGTCTTCGGCTACTCTGGTTTAGTGCTGCTACAGTTATCTCTGCCTCAGCCGCCGTCACAGAGTAAGGTTTCCCTAACGTACTTCGAGGAAGTGTGGGGAAGGTCTTGCCGTTCCATTTCCTCAGACGGTGAGCTGTCTTCGTGTCGCTCATCTACCATGTCCAAAGTACGTGGTGGGTAATAGTCTTCTTTGTCGGAAGATTGTGGCGGACGGGGTTTGGATTCCCGGTGCTCCGCCTATTTGGTCTGTTCGATGGGCGTCTTGCCCTTGACCTTAGTGGCAGGGGGGCTGGAGCCCTTCCCTTGCCGTTTTGACTTGAAGGCTTATGGGCCTGAGGTCTCCATCAAGCGGTGTGGGGTAGAGTTCATAACAGAACCTTCTCCACTGAGGCCGTTACTGTGGCGTTTATCATTGCCTAGAAATCTTTGGAACGTTGAGAGTGTCCACCATGACTCGTTCCTGTCCTGTTGGGAGATAGTGTGAGGGTCAGCACGTAGGGGTGTTACACTCCTGGTAGAACTGGGGATCACCCAGGTAAAACGGTTTGAATTGCCTGCTTTAGTATGTCTGAGAGTATGAATACTCGTGCCAGGTGTAGAGGGGTCACCTGTATTAGTTTAATCTGGCTACTGAGAGCCGTGGTGCAGGCGCGACTGACTGGTACTGGTGTCGGTCTGGCTAGCCGGGTTCACCACAAATGTATGCCAGAGCTGTATGCACGGTTTTTAACTATACAGGCTTATTATATAGGCGCATGGGGCCTGTCTCCATAAGGTCTGCAGCCACAGGACCCATGTCTATTAGGCTGGGTTCATCCCAGGTGGTGTGCCATGGTAACCCAGAGGACACCCATATTATAATTATTGGCACCTTACAAGCACTGCATGCATATCTGGGGGTCATCCCAGGTGGTGTGCCATGAAAAATTACCCAGAGGACACCCACGTTCAATATGTACACTAGGCACCGTAACTATACATATATGTATCCCTGTGAAGGGTACACCACAATACACTCAGTTTTCTTAGTGATCCTGCCGTCAAATCGCATCCGGCATGGTACTGTTGCTTTAATGTAAAACTGACAGGCAGTGTGATTCCCTTTTATTCCAAAGGTTTGGTCCTTAAGGGGTTAAACATCCAAATATGTCTGTAGTAATCAGTGGTAAAGTTGAGGCGTAGGCCTCCGTGCATATGATCGGGGTTCACCCCGGGTGGTGTGCCATGGTAACCCAGAGGACACCCACATCAAAGGTAATGGTCTGTCAGTGACCTTGCATGCATATCTGGGGGGTCACCCCAGGTGGTGTGCCATGAAAAAATACCCAGAGGACACCCACATAAATTTGCACCGTCAGTTACAGTAATATAATATGACCCTCTGTAGGGTACAATAATATAATATAATATGCCCTTTGTAGGGTACAGTAACACAATATGCCCTTCGTAGGGTACAGTGATATAGTTGATCTTGTTATAGGTACAGTATATGTTTTGTATAACGACTGTGATATTGTATGGCTTCACAATAATACATAGATTGTGTGCCTGCTCAACATATAATCATCCAGTGTAAGGCACCATGAGAGATATATCCATGAGAATAAAAAATAATTGTATCAATAAATGAATTTGCCCAGAGAGGGGGACCCCTGAAGGGGTTAATCCAGATGCAAAGTGCGGTGATCGGGTGATTCCTGTAGGGTATAGTAATATAGTATGACCCTGTGCAGGGTATAGTAATATGGTATGACCCTGTATAGGGTATAGACCCTGAGTAAGGTACAAAGACATAATCTCCTTTAATGCCTGCATGTAAGTATTTGTTTGGCAGACACTGTTGGCAGGCACTGTGGCAAAATACATCGAAAGAATACATGGAGAAAAAACTGAAATCCAGCCTGCACTCTCCCATTGTTCACTTGGGAGAGCATACACTTGTGGAGCCTGGCGGTCGGGTGAGTTTCCGATCCGCCGAGCGAGCAGGGAAGGCGGCCGTCGGATATCTCGCGAGCCGCGAGATCCAAGATGGCCGCCGCCCACATGTGAAGGTGCGCCGCGGATCGCGGTCGCGCGGTGCAAAACAAAGGGGATAAATGCAACACAAACGCTGACCCCAGCCTCCCTCCACCCGTCCCCATACAGTCCCCTGTGTAAGTGAAAGGGCCGGTCCGCGAGGCGAGCGCGACACGGGTAGTCGTTGCGCCCGCGGATACCAGGCAGTAAGGTGGAAATAAAAAGGGGAAAAAAACAGAGGGATACAGTGAAGGGACAGGAATAAGGGGGGCCAAGGTATCAGGTGTTAGCAATAAATAGAGTAATATATAGTGGAATGACAATCAAAAAAACAGTGTAAATTAAGAATCTACCAGAGAGGTAAAATACTCTGACCTGATGTATGGCTGGAGCAGCAAAGAAAGAGGAAGTGATGTCATAGACAGGGCCTTTTATGGGCATCATAACTTTTTTCTGATTGGTTGTTATGTATCTATGCTGCTGGAGTTTTCAGTAAAGAAAGATATGCAAATATGAAGCCTCCTGTCATGTGGTAAAATTGTAGATATAGCCTTTACATGTAGTTTCATGTTTGTTCTAGATACAAGACAGAGAGATTTTTGGTTTTTCTGTTTTACATTATTTTGAGCATATTGCACAAACACAAAGGAACATTTGTGACATTTTACACACAGGGACACTGACACATATCCCTGCTGCTCACACAAACACTAACATGCACAGATATTCATACTACACACACAAACCCTAACATGCCCATATATTAATACTGCACACACAAACCCTAACATGCCCATATATTAATACTGCACACACAAACACTTACATGCACAGATATTAATACTGCACACACAAACACTTACATGCACAGATATTAATACTGCACACACAAACACTTACATGCACAGATATTAATACTGCACACACAAACACTTACATGCACAGATATTAATACTGCACACACAAACAATAACATGCACAGATATTAATACTGCACACACAAACAATAACATGCACAGATATTAATACTGCACACACAAACACTAACATGCACATATATTAATACTGCACACGCAATGACGCAAACACTAACATGCACATATATTAATACTGCACACGCAAACACTTACATGCACAGATATTAATACTGCACACGAAAAAACACTTACATGCACAGATAATAATACTGCACACACAAACACTTACATGCACAGATATTAATACTGCACACGCAAACACTTACATGCACAGATAATAATACTGCACACACAAACACTTACATGCACAGATAATAATACTGCACACACAAACACTTACATGCACAGATATTAATACTGCACACACAAACACTTACATGCACTGCATAGATATTAATACTGCACACGCAAATACTAACATACACAGATATTAATACTGCACACGCAAAGATGCACAGCTATTAATACTGCACACACAAACACTTACATGCACAGATATTCATACTGCACACACAAACACTTACATGCACAGATATTAATACTGCACACGCAAACACTTACATGCACAGATAATAATACTGCACACACAAACACTTACATGCACAGATAATAATACTGCACACGCAAACACTTACATGCACAGATAATAATACTGCACACACAAACAATTACATGCACAGATAATACTGCACACATAAACACTTACATGCACAGATATTAATACTGCACACACAAACACTTACATGCACAGATATTAATACTGCACACGCAAACACTAACATACACAGATATTAATACTGCACACACAAAGATGCACAGCTATTAATACTGCACATACAAACACTAACATGCACAGATATTCATACTGCACACACAAACACTAACATTCACAGATATTCATACTGTGCACATATATTAATACTGCACACACAAACACTTACATGCACAGATATTAATACTGCACACGCAATGACGCACTTACATGCACAGATATTTATACTGCACACGCAAACACTAACATGCACAGATATTAATACTGCACACACAAAGATGCACAGCTATTAATACTGCACATACAAACCCTAACATGCACAGATATTCATACTGCACACACAAACACTTGCACAGATATTCATACTGCACATACAAACACTAACATGCACACATAATATTGTATAAAAATACAGACATGTTAACACATCCACAAGCACGCCGATATACAGAAGCGCTAACATACACTGATCACACTTATACTCTGACATTCTGCATTATGGGATGCATTTACATGAGAAGTGTATTTTTGTATTTAATCTCCCCCAATGCTTCTCCCATCTGTGGCAACAAGGAATTAACCAAGCACTTCTCCCTTATACACACCTACCAAGGTGACAATGAGCATGTGTCTACAATGCTTGTGATATTCTTGTTGGTCTCCATACTAAAGAAGTTGGATTGCATTTGTCTACATTACTATTTCATTAATAAACAAGAGGATTTTTTTAAATTAATTTTTTTAAACTAGTTTACCAAAACATGTGTTGTTTGTTTTTATTTTTATTCTTTTTGTTCGTGCAGATATTGAACATGTCATTTGCACTGCCACAACAGCTGGTGCAAACAAATTTGCATTTACATGTATTCACATGGCATCAAAGACTTTGCACTTTTTTTTTATAGAGAAATAAACAGCATGATATCGTAAGCTTCATAATAACATAAGGGAAACATTAGCTTGGCTCACAGATTGGCATCACAATTTTAGTTAAAGTAGGGATAAACGTCATGCAAGAACATTGCATTTTAAGACTGAAAACTTGGCTTAGCACCTGACTGTACATGCTTTTGTTATTTAATATCGTAGGAAAAGAAAAACAAAACACCACTCAGACTCATCCTGCATGTTTAACACTAAATAGGAGATGGTTGTAGTGGAGATAATGAAATATGAAGGGACACATTAAGGACATAGCAGTGAGAGTCTTAACCGGCTGTACTGGCCTGTCTAAACATATGACATCAGCTAAGCTTGCACTGTAATATGTCTGGTTAAATATGTGGATAGCAACTCATTAATAGTGCTAAACAGGCTTGGTTTTAAAATGGATTTAAAATGAAGTTGCCACTAGGCCTAGGCTATCTGATATGCTAATGTATGGTAAAACTTAGCAGTTACAGCTAGTTCTTCAGCCTCCATCTTCACGACAGCGGGGCATAGTGCTGATGATATGCATGGCTCACGGCTCAGCCGATCCCCTTGAGTGGTTTGAGCTGGGTGCAGTCCAGATGGTGTTTGCAGGCGGTCCCCCTGGAGCATCGGGATAGGGGTCTCCTCCATCCCCAGGCCTGGGCACGGGCCAGCTTCTTGTGTCCACAAACTCTGGTACGGTGAAGTGCCAAGTCTCTGCCACTACTGGGGTTGGCGGAACATCCGGACGGTGACTGCTTGCGTTGGCGGAGAGTCTTCAGCTGCCGTGGTCGACGTTTGAGGGCTGTGCCTTGGGTGGCTCTCGGCCCAGAATGGCGTTTCGTCTCTGGTGTGATTAGTTGCTGGTTTGCCTCGGGGAGACATCCCCCTCCTCGGCGCCACAGTGCTTCTTTTGGCTGTAGTAGGCATCTGTGGCGTCTGCTACATGCGGGCCTTTAGTGTTGCCTAAATGGCATTGAAGATTTCTTCCAAGCGTTGTAGGTCCTGTTCGACATACTGGTTGTTGCTCTAGGCCCAGGACTTGTTTGTCCAGGGGAGAGGCTGTCGCCATCTTGGGTGGTATGGGTTGCTTCATTGTGCCAGGGCAATGTGCTGCTGACGATGTGTGCTCAGCTGGGACTAGGATGACCCCCACCCTGCTAGGTTCTCGGCCAGGACGTCGGCTGCCACTCCCGATCGGGTCCTGCTAGGCCGCAAATACTTCAGGTTGGTTTTTTTCGTCCTTTTAAGGCACATGAAAGCCCCGTTTGCTGTCCGGTAGCCTCTCTGCACCCCCAGTGGTTGATATACCTCAATTTAATTAGCTGTGGGCTAGTATTGCGAGAGTTTTTCCTAGTTTATAAGGAGAGCTCTGCTGTCATGCATCCGTCCCATGTTTATTTTTTTTAGATGGTAACCTATACGTACATTTTTACTGCTGTAATTTTGTTTTTATGTTCAGTGGGACCTCGGTTTACAAACGCCTCTGTTAACATTTTCGGTTTACAAAATTTTTTTGCAATACAAAGCAAGTTTCCCCAGGATGCATTGCACCTGGGAGGTTTATAGCATTGCCCTATGCATGCTGGAGCCTGTGGGTAGCACGTGGCGTTAAGTGTGGAGGTGTTGGAGCGGCTTTTGCATTGAGTTTTGGAGCCATTCTGGAAATTGTTTTCAGTTGTTTTCTGACTTTTTGGTGCATTTCTCAAGCTGTGGAAAGGTAGGGAGCTAAGCTTCGTTGTTTGCATGCCTTTTATTGTGTGTTCTGCATTGTGGGTTGGTTTCCATGTCAGCTCATTTTGACTTTTTTCTGATCTCCAGAATGGATTAATTGGTTTTCAATGCATTCCTATGGGAAACCGCATTTCGGTTTACAAATTGTTCGCAATAAGAAACGTCCCGGAGAACGCATTAAATGCGTAAACAGAGGTCCCACTGTATTTGTCTATAAACTCTGGGAACTAATGTAATTACTGTAATTTGACATCTTATTATATGTCCAATATCTTCTCTATCCTTATTAAAGACCATCACCTTTTAATTGCTAGAACAAGGTCGATTTTGCCATCACTTTAAGAATAATATTCCAGTATGGAATGTCACTCCTGTATTGTAAACTGTGTCTTCACCTTATTACACCATTGAATAAAAAAATTTAAATCCCCCATTGTTTGTATTAACCTTTTTTCACATATTGCCCCATGTTCTTTCAAATTTTATATTAAAATGTAGCAAATGACCTCATATTCCAGTTCAGCCCATACACAGCGAGGGCAAAAAATAGAAATGTTTTTATGTACCGCATATACTCGAGTATAAGTCGACCCGAATATAAGTCGAGACCCCTAATTTTACCCCAAAAAACTGGGAAAACTTATTGACTCGAGTATAAGACTAGGGTAGGAAATGCAGCAGCTACTGGTAAATTTCTAAATAAAATTAGATCCCCCAAAAATTATATTAATTGAATATTTATTTACAGTGTGTGTGTGTGTGTGTGTGTATATAATGCAGTGTGTTTGTATGAATGCAGTGTGTGTATTATATATATATATATATATATATATATTATTTATTTATTTTTTTTAATTATTATTTTATATAATATATTTTATTTTAATATAATTTCATTTTTTATTTATATTTATTTTCGTCCCCCCTCCCTGCTTGTTAGCTGGCCATGGAGGGGGGCTCTCATTCCCTGGTGGTCCAGTGGATGGGCTGTGTAGGAGGGGGGCTGGCAGAGAATTGCCTTTCCTGCAGCTCCTGTCAGCTCCCTTCTCTCTCCTCTGGTCCGGTCAGCTCCCTTCTCCTCCACTGTAAGTCTCGCGGCCGCGTGGAGCGGTCCCCGCGGCTCTCGCGAGATTTACAGTGGGAGCTGACAGGAGCTGAGAGAGAAGGGAGCTGACAGGAGCTGCAGGAAAGGTAAGTTACAGGACCGCCAGGCTTGTAATGAGCCCGGCGGTCCTTGTCTGTATTATGGCAATGTAAGTTGCCATAATACAGACATTAACTCGAGTATAAGTCGAGTGGGGGGTTTTCAGCACAAAAAATGTACTCGAGTATATATACGGTATCCTCTTCTGTGTAAGCATTTTCAATGCTGACTGCCAGGTGCTACTGACAGGTCTTTAAACAGTAACTGTTAAGGAGCCAAGATGGTGGCAACCAGTTACAGTTTAAAAAGGTTTCGATGTCTACATTTCACTTTAATATTAATATTTTTTTTAAATCTTTATTTTTACTGTGCAATAAAGATTACATACAAGCCTGCAGTGTCACGATAGCAGTAACAGGCATAGTGAAGCAAACCATATCATGACAAGGTTAGACTGCACATTTTTTTTTTTTTTTTTTAAATAGGTAAACAGGATGGTGCTATAAATGCCTGAGGTTGCTGAAGTAGGATTATTAGTATAAGGTCATGCAGGCAGTCAGGCACGACAGGCATAATATGGAAAACAAAAAAGAAAATTAACTTTGCTTGGACGCCATGGATTTTACTCACATGGATGCTGAGTAAAGTAACACGTATTAATATAAAGCATTATACTGTTGGGTAACATGCAGGATGAAATTCAATAAAGTAAAATAAAATAACCACTGGGCCCCCACAACAATTCGAACAGAGGGAGAATCTAGGTTAGTAAAGCTGTTGCCTATGGTAGAGCAACAAATCAATTTATCTCAAGCCCTTAAACTAAATCTTGTCACTAAGGGGCCTGAATAAGGCTGTTTATACGATGCCTAACTGTGGCAGATTGACAACCTTGGAAGGCATGAGTCCACTGTTCCATATGCGTGGGCACCAATAGTCCCATGTGGAGGTGCACTCCTGTGTTGTGCTGATAGGACAAAGGCCATCCGCAGGACCAGTGTCTCTCGGTGCTCGTGGCCGGTGTTGCTGAGTGTGTGTCTTGCGGCCTGCGGGCCAGGACTCTGCCCCGCTAGTATGTCCCACAGAGGAACAGCTGCAAGATATTCCTGGCACTGCAGGACCCTGCGCTGGGTCAGGCTCCGCCCACGCTCCTCCCCCCGCAGACATCAGCCGGCAGGGGAGACCTAATGCACATGCGCGGCAATAGCTGCGTGCGCACATTAGACCTTCCCATTGGAAAGCATTATTCAATGCTTTCCTATGGGGATTTCGGCGACGCTGGAGATCCTCATGCATAGTGTGAGGACGTCCAGCGTAGTTTAAAACACAACACTAAGAACACAAAAGACCCTCTAGTGGCTGTCTGATAGACAGCCACTAGAGGAGAAGTTAACCCTACAAGGTAAATATTGCAGTTTATGAAAACTGCAATAATTACACTTGCAGGGTTAAGGGTGGTGGGAGTTGCCACCCAGACCACTCCAATGGGCAGAAGTGGTCTGGGTGCCTGGAGTGTCCCTTTAAATTAAGGCCAAAATTATTTTACATTGCACAATGTCATATATTTTACAAGGTCCTAGAACAGGGGCAGGCAACCTGTGGCATTCCACACGTTGTGGACTACTTCTTCACTGATGCTTTACCAGCATTATGGTTGTAAAAGCATTATGGGAGATATAGCCCACAACATCTGGGCCATGGGTTGCCTACCATTGTCTGGCAACATGGAATGTGTTGATAATGTATACTGCTATTAATATGATTATATTTTTTTCCAAACTAAAGGTGGGGCATGGGAAGGACTTCATGGATCCTCTCAGTGAAGCAAAGCGATCTGGCCTCAAACTAGCTCTTCATCTATCTGAGGTATATTTGATAAGAGTGTTACAGCCACTCTTCCTAAAGTATTTACCCATTTCAGGTCTGCATGAGCATTTTTCTGTTTAGCCAAAGCAGAAGAACCTTTTCCTGATCACAGATAAATTACGTTCCCACTTTAATGCAAGGCAGGCAATCTAAATCTTTTCAACTCATTTTAGCTGTACTGCAGGTGGGAATTGTTCTCATTTTTGAAGCGACTTGTATGGAATTATTAATGAAAACAGGAACTCTGGAGAATTGACAAGGAAATTGCAGGTGTAAAGCAAAATAATGACAAAAAAAGTGCTTAAAGTGCTCTGTCAGTCAGGGATCCTGGAATGACGCTTTCTGCAGGAGTGTGTATATCAGTGCTAATGTGAGAGTGTCAAAAGTGTATCTGAATAAGATGATTGATGCTGCCCGTGGCTCCTGACCTGAAGACCAAGACAGATTATACTTGCTACTGCTTGTTCCCAGGGTGCCTGCAAGTCTCTGTCAGGTCAGCATACTATGCATGCTAAGCGTGGGTACGTGGGATTGCCAGCTTAGAAACATAGAATGTGACGGCAGATAAGAACCATTCGGCCCATCTTGTCTGCCCAATTTTCTAAATACTTTCATTAGTCCCTGGCCTTATCTTATAGTTAGGATGGCCTTATGCCCATCCCACGCATGCTTAAACTCCTTTACTGTGTTAACCTCTACCACTTCAGCTTCCTGATTGACAGGATTTATATGTGGATCTATGAGCTCTGTTTGAAAGGAACACTATAGCGTTAGGAATACAAATGTGTATTCCTAACGTTATAGTATCCTAGTCACCAGGTGACAAACCCCATCCTTATGGCACGTTGAGCCAATCAAGTGGTCTCTCTAATGGAAACAGCCACATTTTACTCTGCTATTTCTGCTGAAACTCCTATAGTGGCTGTCAGTACAATAATGACAAGATCCATTTAAACACTGCAGTGTACTCATTGGTGTTCCTGCGGATCAGTAATGTTTTATAGGGTTCGAACAAGAGGGATGTGGCATCCAGACATTGAGCTGAAGTGGTCTGGGTGTCTATAGTGTCCGTTTAAAGCCCTATTTTGTTAATTATTTAATAGAAACAAAAGCAAGGATTGTATCCCATAGCCAAATAACAAACTAAGATGAAGTGGCCATGGCGCTTACTCTTCCTTTTTTTCCCCCCACAATCCAACTTTCTCCAAAATGTTGTTATTCCATGATCAATTTTCAACAATTTCTGGTTTGTTTGAATCGCTTGGATTAAATTTACAAAAAAATGTTTTTTTAATTAAGCTGGAAAATGCTTGTACGAGAGAAAGCAACAGTGTCATAATTCCTTAAGTATTCTTGCACAGAAGACAATAGTTGACAAATTCATCTTATTGTTCTTTGTTTTATCCAACTATTTGTAGACCAAAGAGGCCTATATTATATGCATAATTTAAGAACATTTTGCAAAGCTTCCTTATTTACTTGGACTTGTTATTTCTTACAGATACCCAGTCAACAAGAGGAAACTGCACTTCTGCTTAATCTCCCCCCCGATAGAATCGGACATGGGACTTTTCTGTGGAACTCACCTGATATAGTAGAGATCGTGAAACAGAAACAAATTCCTCTTGGTGAGAAAGTACTCTTGTCCTAAAGGGGCATTGTAACGTCAGAGCTTTTCAGAAGGATAACATCTTTATTATATATATATATAATTTGAAATTTTGCTGCAAGTTGTTATGGCAAAACATGATAAAAGGCTGGGACTTTATAACAGGCTGATAAGAAACAGAATCCCCTTTTACCATTGCGTGTTACCATATAAATACTTTTAAAATGAAAAAATGTAAAGGTATTTTTATGTTTATAATGTTCATATGTATATATGAAGATTTGGTGGGAAAAAAAACAAGTAATCAAGACATACAATTTTAACAAACATGTTTGACACACGTGAACAGTAAGTGAAGAGAGCCCTGCTTAAACAAACTTACAATCTCAAGGGATGAGGGACATCCCAGTCAATAAATTGATGTGTTTGTACCTGAATGATGGGAGCGGTGTTAGGGAGGAGAGAGCACTATAGGTGGGAGATGGCGTAGGAAGGTTGTAGGGGATGAGGAGTTTAAGAGGTGAGCTGATTGCCTTCTCTAAAGAAATGTGTTTTTTAGGGATTTTTTGGGCTGCGGAGACTGGGCGAGTTGGATGTGTAACAAGAGTGCATTCCATAAGGAGGGGGCAGGGCTGGGCTATATCTGGTAATGAGTGAGGAGATGTAAGCAGGGACTGAGAGCTTTGTAAATAATCAGGAGCACTTTGAACTAAGTCCTAAATAAAACGGAAAGCCAGTGTAGAGAATGACAGAGGGGTGAAGTGTGAGCTAGATGAGTCTGGCAGAGATGCTGATTATGGATGGGGGACATCTGGGCACTTTTCAGGCTGATAAGCAGTGGGTTACATGAATCAATGTAAAAAACAATCAGAGTATTTATATTATTTATAATGCTTTATATCATCAAAACAAGAAATTAATATCCCTTAGGATATTGTAAGCTCTTAATGAAAAGTCATACTTGACAAAGCCCTTTAAATAGGTATTGCACATTGAATGACACCGTGGAGCATTGCTGCAATCAGACAGGGTTTTGTTTTTTGGTTTTTTTGGGACAGAGAATGCCTGAAATGATAATAGTTTGCAGAGCCACTAAACATGTTTAAATGTAATTATTTTTGTTATTTGTTTCAATAATCTATTAATCATTATTAGTCTATCCTAAAAGCCTCACACAGTTGATGTATATGAGTGCTTATTAAAGTGTAAGTGTTATATCGATCGACTGTGCTAAAAAAAATTAATCTCTTAGCTGCTACCACACTGTAATGTGCAATTCTCCAAAAATCACATCAAAGGCAGAATTTTGTTTGTACCAGATTCAGTGGAGCGCTTAAATATGTGCATAAAACTTTATAGTACACCTAGTGCAAACAAGGATATAAGGTAGGTGTGTGTGTGTGTGTGTGTGTGTGTGTGTGTGTGTATATGTATGTATGTATGTATATATATATATATATATATATATATATATATATATATATATATATATATACATATACATTTTTTTTTCCCCAATGTTGTGTATACCTTATAGTACCCTTATGTACACAAGTGTAATATACACATAAATTGGAACACTCACATATTCCAGAGCTATAACCTAGCTCTGGGAGTTATTTGCCTCTAGGTCCGTTTAGGTGACCTGCCCCTTTTCTTTTTCATGAAAATATTTGTTACAAACGGTATCACACTATATATAAATCTCTTTCCTTGAGATACTGCATACTACTGCTGAATACACAAGAAAACTCCTTAACGACTCTCCATAAAGAAACATTGAATGTTCAAGGATATGTAAAAAATACCGTATGTGTATGTATATGTGTGTGTGTGTGTGTATATATGTGTGTATATATATATATATATATATATATATATATATATATATATATATATATATATTCCTTGTACTATTAAGTTTTATGCACATATTTAAGCACTCCACTGAATCTGGTACAAAAAATATCCTAGAAGCCTCCATCATCTAATCCAATGTGTGCCTTGGCTTTGCCAGGATTGAACTGGATTGTGATATTATTTACAAAATCTTTAATCTGCATTACAAAAACAGATCATCACATGAACACAAGTTATCTCTAATTATTAATGCTTTATTTAGTGGTGTAATTTCTAGAAAAGTGACAGTTCTATTTTAGATTATACATCAACCTACACACGTAGGCAAGTAGCTATGCATAAAGCAGCTGTGTAGTGGTAAGAAGGTAATATTAATATATTTTCTTAATATATTTTCTTTTGATGTTTAGAGTTTCTAGCGAACTTCAGAAATGGTGAAGGGGTTCGCCTGCTTTGCGATGCTCATGATGATCCATGACTGCAAAGTAGAATGTCATTTTTAAAATATAGAGAGGGAATGAATAATGTATAATCCATACTAAGTACAGCTAGCTTTATTTATCAAAGTAAAGACTAGTGGCATGTCCTATCTTCAGTGTCTAGTATTGGATTGATCTTTATAGCACGTGACTGTGTTCAAAATCAGACACTGAAAAGTTTTGGCATTACAGTGCATCCTGTCCACACACCTTCACATCTGTCTTGTGTGACTTTTCCCTTTGCCACCCAAGGCCATGTCCCACAAAGGAGTCTATTCTCTTAATTCCCAATGTTAGGAAGGGCAGGCTTTGCTTGCAAGGGGAGAATCAGAGAAGTCTTGTCACCAGTGTACTGAGCGTGCTTACGACCGGCGTATGATATGCACAGAATTGACATTTGGCAGTCCGGAACAGAGTTATTTGCACTTTTGTGCCTGGGGCACTCTGTTTGTGCAGTGTTTCAAGTCAAAGGGGTCATGGACAATTCCTTTCTCTGTGACCACTGCAAAAAGCAGAAGTGGTCATGGACGTTCTGGTAACCGTTTAAGTAAGTCTTATGATTTATAAAGCAGGTGGCTGCGTTCCTTTTGAAAAATCTGCCTACCCACATCAGACTCTACTAGCTTTCAATACTATTTCAAAACCCATCTCTTCACAAAAGATTATGGTCTCCCAGTGTAACTTATATCTCACAAACCTGTCTCTTAAAGGGCCACACTCCACTCTCTCTCTGCTACTTTGTCACTTGGTTCCTATCCCCCTCTCTGCCGCCCATCCTGTTGTGTTTATTTTATACCCCACCTCCTCTAGACTGTAAGATCGTTTGAGTAGGATCCTTATTAACTTATTGTTCCTGAAACAGTTTGTAATTGTCTCATTTATCGTTAAAGTTTCCTCCTTTACTCCATGGCACAGGGAGGGGTGGGACTACCCTCGGTCTGGAATTACCACAGGGCCACACATCTACAGCGCATAGTGGAATGGCATGTGTCCAGGACAACCAAGACCTGGATACACATGGAAAGAGCCCAGATGGAAGGGGCGCTCCCGGCTTTAATTTGGAGATACGAACCTATCAGAGACACATTAGCACAGCACCATCCGTTCATAGGTGCGACCCTGAAAATCTGGTGCGCGATAAGGACGAAACTTATGCTCACCACTGTACCGGGGCCTCTGACCCCAGTGGCGCACAACCCGGAGGTGGCGGGAGGCCTAGCACACGCGGAACTTCTCGCGTTCGGAGGCACTGACTGGTCCTATATGCAACAGTGGTGCTCAAGGGACGATCTCAAACAACTACCAGACCTGATGGGGGACAGGATCCCGACTCCCTTAGATAGGTTACGCTACTTCCAAGTCAAGTCATACTATAAAGCACAAAACGGGAAACATCTCTTCCACAGACCCCTGTCAGAGTTTGAGGGACTTCACAAATAGGACACGTCCCCCTAGGGGGATCTCACTCTTATATGCCCTGCTAATAGCGGCAACCCCACTGGAACCGGCAAAACACGCTGCACACTGGGAGAAAGCCACGGGAATCACGCTCACTGACCCAGAATATGGTCGAAAATATACATACTGACGCATCAAAGTTCCATGTGCTCTAAAATGCAGGCGTTGAACTACAAACTGCTCACCGGATGGTACCGGACCCCAGACAGGCTACACCGTATGCTACCTGATGTCCCGGATACGTGCTGGAGATGTGGGGGAAGGCCGGGTACAGCTCTACACATCTGGTGGTCCTGTGATAAGATCTCCCCATTCTGGAAGGAAGTTCACAAGACGATACAAGAGGTAACGGACAGCGACCTTCCTTTCCAGCCACTCCGGATGCTGCTTCACCATACCCCGATGCCCATCTCACGATATAAATCCTCCTTAACCAAGCACCTCCTCAACGCCGCCAAACTCATGATCCCGGTTCGATGGCGATCTCCCCAGGTGCCTACCATTCAGCAGTGGATGGACAAAGTGGAAGAGATACACGAGATGGAGAGGCTCACGGCGACACTCAGGGACAAATTGGACAAATACCAGTAATGTTGGACCCCATGGATACTCTATCTGTCCAGACGATAGGAAGGACATCGGGGAGAGGAGCCGGGCATCCGGATGGGTCGGGGGTGGGTGGCGATCATCTGGGCCTGGGGGGTGGGGCGTCCCGGGGGAGCACTGCTCCTCCCCCCATTTGCCTTCCCTTCCCTCACCCTAAGCACTCAGCTGGCGTCACGGGGGCGGGATGGGGGGGCGATAGGGGAGATGCATAACCATGAAGACCCACATTGGGGGGCGGGGTGGAAGGGGGGGATCTGGAACCCCGACATGTCGAAGGAACAAGAGGGTGGACCGAGAGACCAGATAGGCTAGCCCCCAAGAAAATAAAAAGGAACAAACTCAAAGGGAATGCACCATTGTAACGCACCAAAGATGAGGAGCATACAGGTGACACTAGCGGAGGCGAGTATCCGTAGAGTACCTGAGCACACCAGGCCCTATGCCACGCAGGTTCTGACTGACTGAGAGGGTTGGCCCTCATGGGAACGTATATGCATCACCGAAGCGATGAGGGCGGAGACACGCCCGGTCTGCCAGTTACCCATCTAATGGGCGCAGCTGCCTCGAGCAGGCCTGTATAGCCCGAGATGCCTGACGGGATGAGACGGGCCAGCCCTACATTTCCTCACACACTGCCCCAAGTCAAGACAAAAAATTTTTAGGGACATGGACAGGCGGGCATAGACTCAGCTAACCGCATGCTGGCTTATAGACCACAACAACTGGCAGAGCAGGGGCACACTCAGCTTACACTAGCACTAGCCTTTCGAGACCGCAACATAGCAGATGACACTAACTCCGAGAGTAGGGGACAATTAGAAAGGGTAAGCTACATGAGACTACATTAATGCCAAGGACAGTGCTCCTAACTTAGCCACTCACATAACAAAACACCGCAGCTGAAGTTGTTTTACGCATACCTAATGTTTAACAGGCATGTTATACTTGTTATACATTATATGTCGCCATATCACTGTTCGGCATCAAAAAACAAAAATAAAGATTGTCAAAAAAAAAAAAAAAGTTTCCTCCTTTACTATATTGCAAAGTGCTGAGAATAAGTTGGCGCTATATAAATGCCAATAATAATGGTTGGACACACATGAGCAAAAACAAAAATAGGTCCCGGCACCAACAAGCTACCTTGCCTTGACGTAAACTTTTGTTGATTACAATAAACTTCACATTCTTACTTGTGACCATTTTCTGAGATTTGTCTTGCTATACACCAGAGCATCCCTTTTTGATTACTGGGTAAGCTAACTTAATATCTTTACCTTATGTGTGTACTGATATGACATTCAGTGCTCTGGGATTGGGTGAGTTATAGGATTTTCACAGATAACTGGATTGGCATTGCCAACATATTGCTACAGAAAATGTTTCGGAATTAACTGTATTAATCAAACAAGTTGTTCTGTTAGTACCTCTATCTAGAATTATGCAGACTGTAACATTGCAGAAGGTATGAGCTGTCAAGGACTGATGGGCAAATAATTTGGTAGGTTCTGTAAAAACAATCTGTGGCCTTTTTATCCATTTTACTACTCACTGTATTAAATCGAATTAAGCTGGTCGTGACTCACTGATGTAGGTATGCACAGAATAACAAGACGTGCATTTGATGACACAGTTAACCTCCCATCTCTAATCGACAAAGCTTGCCACACCACATTAATCCAATAAGTGGTTCTAATTGGGTGCAGCAGATTTCAAAAGATGTTACTGGAAATGTGATAAATGACTTATCATTGCCAGGTTTTCACGAAAACAAAACAGAATTCATTTCTACACATTTATTTACAGATCTCGTAGCCATGTTGATTGTAGTTGGTTCTGTATCCATGGTCTTAAGTATATACAATATCGACCAAGAGTGTGTAACCTTGGTACCTCATATCTTCTTTATGGTTTATAGTTGACTTTGCTTGGCATCAGGAGAAATTTAGAAATGTACTATTATCTACAGTACGGACTTCCAACCTCTGGTATGGACAAATCCAGAGGTTCTGTATGCCATAACCCGACCTGACATCTAGCAGAGCTTGATCCAGTTGGATTTTATATGAAAGCCATTTAGTTATAGATGTTGATTGTTTTTCTTTATTAATGCAGTTTTGTGTCAAATATTAATGGTTTTAAAAAGATACTCTACCTCTTGGTTGTAATGGTTTGTTTGCTATTTACCACTGAAACGGATAGCTAGCACTAAGATATCCGGATTATTCACTAAAGTGTGAATTGCCCAGGATTTAAAATAAATCCAAAGAGTGTCAAACTTTGGACCAAAATAGCCCAACTGGAATCGTAGCTAACTTGGAGAAGTTTACAAATTTGGCTGGTGTGGCTTCAAATGTAAAATTCTTGTGAAACAATACAGACCTGGCACTTTTTTTCCCCTAAAATGATTAATCTGTTCAATGCACTTTCAGTATAGATCTGTTTTAGGCTCCATAAAAGCAGTCACTCAGTGGGCAGCCACACAATGGTGCAAAGGTACGTTTTTCTAAAAGGAGTACTGAGCATAATCTGGTCCAAATCTTACCTATATTTATCTGTAAAGAGCATGTATTCTTATTTTTTTTTTTATCTGAACAAGCACTGTTATTTATATAACTTATTGTATGTCTATCTTTTTGTGTAGAGCTCTGTTTGACTTCAAACATTAAAGGACAGACTGTGCCATCATTCGACAAACATCATTTTGGGTTCTGGTATAACTTGGGTCATCCATCTGTGCTGTGTGTAAGGAACCTTCTTGTTAATAAAACACCTGTATTATTGGCTAGATCATTATAGTAGAATTATGCATGATATGTAATGAAAACTGTAATGTATTGAATGTTACCGTGTAAATACAAATACAGCTAGTATAAAATCCACAAAGCAACATCACCAGATGATTTAAAGGCCAACCCCATACAAGATCTTTCCAGGGTTATAGTACAAACCATTGTTAAGGGACAGATTGTATGAATGTTGCATACTGTAGTATTTGTTTGTAGTGTTCTGGCAGACAGTTTGAGAATTCGAAACATACAAAATTAAGCCCTGTGCTCAAACTCCTGGGCGGCAGAATGACTATAGTACAAATCAGCCTAATACATACAGTAAAAATCAAAGAAAAAAGGTTACTTGCATACTATCCCAAATCCCTATTCACATATAAATCACTGGAGGTTTTTAGTATTACTCCAGTGGCCATTAAAGTGTAAGCTCACCTGCCATGTCAAGGCAAAACCTCTTAGGCAAGTCATACACTAAAAATCCACATGAGATGGGGTAAACTAACAAGCAAATTGGAAAATTCCGACCTAAATAGCGGATCTGGAATAATAACAGATTTGGAAAAGTTTCCATTTGTACTATTTTGGCCTATTTTTTTTCCTGTTCATTGTAAATTCAGACTACATCATGTAAGGAAACAACCGTTATATTGTTTGGGATAGATTTTTTTAAAAAAAAATTTATACCACATTTTAATGCATATATAGTTTGCTGCCTTGCAAAACCATTCAGAATGTATATTTTTTGCAGACTGATGACAAAGGCGTTTTTGCCACCGATCTTTCGCTGGAATATCAACTCGCTGCTAATACATTCAACTTGAACTCACAACAAGTGTGGGACCTGTCATATCAGGCCATAGATTATATCTTTGCATCAGAAAGTGATAAATCACACTTGAAGGAGAAGTGGAACATGCTAAAATCAGACGTATTTAACCACATCCTGTGAATGCCGAACTAAACTGGAGGAAACTATAGAGCTTGAATTGTAACAAGAGACTGCAAGAAAAGAACAACATTCTAGATCTCAGAGTAAATGTTGCAGGATACGTCATTAGCCTGTGAGTCACACAAATAGTTTTTATTATGACTTTTTATTAGCTAATGCAAGTTTTAAATGGATTTTAAACTATTTCTTCCATTGAAAATAATACAAATATTAAATTACGTTGTGTTCTTTTTGTCAAGTGTAATATACAGTAAGTATTTTAAAGTAAATTGATTTGCATACAAAATGGATTCGCTGTCATTATTCATTTAGTATTTATATTACATAACCACGTCTGACAAGCAAAATACAGAGTACACGGGAAAGATTGTTTATCAATTTGATCTTTTTTTTTGAAAATTTTTTTTTTTAGAAACATATATTTTTATTTCTCGTTAAATTAAGAAAATGTTTTTTGGGGTTTCAGAGTTAAACTGTGCAAAATAAAGCAAAACATGGGGGGTGGAGGGAAGTAAAATACATTTATTTGAATTTAGAAATAGCCAAACCAATGAGGCCAGTTCAGCAACGCCAATAGCCATACCAGCAAGTACATCTTTCTGCATGTTTTTTTTCAATTATTTTCTCAAATTTCCTGACCTGCGAGTTCTTTGGTTCTTTCTTAAGAAGAATTCGGACGTATTTCAGAGCTTCTTCATACTCTTTTAACCTGTAAGGTGCCGTAGAAAGGTAAAATGACCAGATTTTACGATTTCATGACGGGAAGTCATGATTGTATTAATGACACAGAGGCAAGTATTTACCACTATAATGTCTTAAGGCATAGAACTTAGCAGGGCTAACCATACAGATATCTTAGTCGTAATATTATATAGTTAGCAAGAGATCCTCTATCTAAAATTATATAAATAATTGAGAATACAATATAAATACATGTCTTGGAAGCAATAAAGTTTTGTCTTTTTAGATATTTATTATATAAAAATATAAATATAGACATAAAATCCATTACAACAATTTATAGCAGAGTTTATAAGATTAAAGTATATGCTTGCAATATCATTAAAGTAGAATAACATACCCTCCTGAACATATCAACATGTCAGCCTCTCTGCCATTATAATTTGAAACCGTGTCTCTGTCTCCAAATCTCTCCTCTCTTTCTAACATTTTAAAAGGTATATTTATACCTTAGATGCTCATTTTAGAACCTCCCTTAACTTGGCAAAGATTCAAGGCCAGAACTAAAGCGTAAGGGTGCACACATCATGGGAAATTCCCTGAATTGGGGAATTTCCACTAATCTAAGACAAAATGGCGTAAGTCAGACAAGGGGGTACAGATAGGCAGATAGGGCATGCCCGCTTCTCAGGCTCTGGGTCCTACAGAGGGGAACACTGGTTGGGGACACGGATACCTGCCCATAAATGAGCCCTAGCCGGGGCGCCCTCATGGACCACAGGGGCTCCTTAGGGATCAGTGCAAATGGGGAAATGCGTAATTAATTTCTGTAGACCAATCTTGGGGAAAAAGCTTTGTTGCCAGAGCTGCCGGGTCTGGTCTCCAGCTGAAAAGGCGAGGGGTTTGAGCATTCCGTTAAGAGGCAAAGAGATCTATTTCCAACGCTCCCCACAGGTCTGTGATTTTCTAGAATATTGAGGTGTCCAGACGACAGTTGCTGAAATCTTTGAGGTGACAGGAGTACCAATCTGAAAATCTGGTGTTAGAGAAGCCAGGGATATATTCTGCTGTCACAGAAATGTTGTGCATAAGGCAAAAAGTGTCAAAAATCGTAAGTCATGTTCACCAGCACTTTGGACTTTGTGCCTCCTAGATGGTTGATTTATGGGACTGCTGAAATATTGTCCATCTTCAGTAGGATTGTGCATTCGGAGTGGGTTGGAGAGAGGCTGCGCACAGCAAAGGATCTGGCCAGAAGTTCCAGGCAATTGATATGTAGTGTTGATTCTAGATCTGACCATCTGCCTCCCGTGAAGATATTTCCACAACGCGCACCCCAACCTTGTAAGCTTCATCCGATTCTATGATCAGGTCTGAGGTCATTCCAAATATAGTGCATCCATTCCAGACTTCCATGTGGAAAAGCAACCAATGAAGCTTATTTTTCGCCTCCTTGTCCAATGTCACCATTTCTTCGTATGATGCTTCGCCTCGGAGGTAAGAGGCTTGCAGCCGTTGAAGTGCCCAATAGTGTAGAGGACCTTGGAATATGGTTGGATGGAAGATGCGAGGAGTCCGATGACTCGTGCCAAGTGTTTGATGGGGAGTTGGGGATCAACCAACGTGCGTCTTATTTCTTTATTGATATTTACCAGCTTTGATGTTGGTAGATGTAGAGTCTAAAAAGTTGAATCGACCATGAGTCCCAGGAATTCGATATGTTGGAAAGGAACCATGACGGATTTTTCCCAATTGATAAGGAAACCCAGGTTTTGTAACATCGGGGTCCACGTCAGGTGTGTGTGTGAAGAAGGTTGGCCGACTGCGCTAAAATGAGGATACTGTCCAGATAAATGATAAGCCGAAAGCCACGACTCCTTAATTGAGCAATCACAGGTTTCATGATTTTGGTGAAGCACCACGGAGCTGACGACAGGCCGAATGGGAGACACCTGAACCTCCATTTCCGTCCCTGACACATTAACTGGAGAAAGAATTTATGTTGCTCCGCTATAGGAACCATGAGGTAAGCGTCCTGTGAATCTAATTTGGCCATCCAATCCGCTGGTTGGAGTAAATCGCGAAGACAATGTATGCCTTCCATCGTGAAATGGTTGTAGGATACATAAATGTTCAGTTGCTTTAGGTTTATGACGGGTCTTACCTCTCCACCTTTTGTGGGGACCAGGAATAAATTGCTGACAAAACCCAGGGTATGGGTCGGAATCTCTGTGATGGCTTGTTTGCGCATCAGTTCTCGAATCTCCTTGGATACAATGAGAGCATCTTGATGGGGAAAAAACAATTTCTCTGGGAGCGGAGTCTGCCCCCTACAAACAGAAGGGAAAAAGGAGAAGAGTTGACACTTACCATAAGGTCGTCTTCCAGAAGGAGCTCCTCGAATGCCCCTAGCTTCCCAGGCTCCGCATCTCTGTGGGAAGATTACTGGTGATGTTCTTTTGTTCCTGAAAACCAACTTGTCCTAAATAGGAGCCCTGGTACTGTCTATAAGAACCTCTTTTTATATGGCCGGACAGACAGCTCCTTCCTCTTCCAGCCCTGTCAAAAATCTTCGGGTGAAAATTTCTCATATTACTTAGGGCTTTATCCAAAGCTGTAAATGTGTGGACAAACTACCCCAACTTCTTAACAAAGGAGTCACCAAATAGTTACCCTTTAGCTTGGACACCTGGTTCATTAAAGGACCACTCTAGGCACCTGTAACGGACCGTTTTGCACATAAGGGGTAAAAACGTTTAGGCGATCGTCCCCCTTTCCAGAGATGCAGGCACAGCTACTGCAGAACACCAATCCGCTGAACAGGAAACCATATGAATGCTGTAACCAGCCGAATAGGAAAAAACATCCGAATAGGTTTACACTCCTAGCAGTCAAACTGGAACAGCATACAATAAATCCCCCCAAGAACGAGACAAAGCTCCGTGTTGAGGGTCAAGCAGTGAACAGTCAGAGCTGTGGGTTTATTGTGCTTATGTACACATTCTTACACATTAGTACCACCCACAGGGTTTTGGAACACAACCAATAAACACATACAATACACTCAGACACTCCCACACAAATTCCTCCCCTCTGCATGTGATTCAATTACCTTACACAATGGGTAATGTAATTTAGCACAAGCAGAGAAATACATTTTTTCCACATTATTCATAACTTGAAAAGTATGCATCACATTCACATAAAACATTTTCAGAATCAGCATACTCCAAATACAAACATACGTCAAAATCATACAAATTGGTCCAGTGGTTCAAAAGATAGATCGTAGTCCTTTGTGACCAAAGGAAGCATGGCTTTTCTGCCCAAAACCAGTTCCACAGAGTCTTCTATCCTGGAGATAATTAGGAAGTAATCCAATTATCTCCAAGGACAGAGGCAAAACTCCATTGAACACATGGCAGCAAAAGACAATAAAACACATAAAAACATATAACTGTGCAGCCATTGCACAAAACAGGTACATTCAACATATCCCCAGATAGCTCAGATCTGAGCGCACATTATTACTGAATGGCGCTCAGAGCACACACATATAGTTCAATTGCCATGGAGCCAAAGTCTTTCCCATAGTCTTTCATTATACGAATGGGCTCCATGGCATAGCTATCTGGGGTATCACCGTTCAAACAGGGCAAGCACCAAATGACCCGGCTTTCATGTCTTTGCAGGGAAAAATCAAGCCTTTTAACATGGGGCCATAATCCAAAGGCAACAGGCGAGCAACCAGGCTTCTCCAATGCAATGTGGCGAGATTGCTCTCGTCACAGCACCCAGACCACTTCAGCTTAATGAAGTGGTCTGGGTGCCTGGTCCAGGTAGGGTTAACCCATTTTTTTTATAAACATAGCAGTTTCAGAGAAACTGCTATGTTTATAAATGGATTAATCCAGCCTCTAAAGTAGCTGTCTCATTGACAGCCGCTAGAGGCATTTGCGTGCTTCTCACTGTGAAAGTCACAGTGAGAAAACGCAAGCGTACATAGGAAAGCATTGTGAATGCTTTCCTATGAGACTGGCTGAATGAGCGCGCAGCTCCTGCTGCGCATGCGCATTCAGCAGAAGAGGAGGCGGAGAGGAGGAGGAGTGCTCCAGTGGCGCTGGAGAAAGGTGAATGTTTAACTCCTTCCTCTCCCCAGAGCCTGGCGGGAGGGGGTCCCTGAGGGTGGGGGCACCCTCAGGGCACTGTTGTGCCAGGAAAACGAGTATGTTTTCCTGGCACTATAGCGGTCCTTTAAGGGCTTAATTGACCAGTTTAGCGTCAGTTTTGAGTAGTATGGATTTGCGTCGCTCAGTAGCAATCGTAGTATTTTCATTGCCAACCAGGCAAATGATGCGTTGGATCCAACCACGTAGCTCGGTTGTCTTCGACCGCATCAAAATTTTGGCAGCAGGGCCTAATATGTCTAGGACCTTATCCTGAGAGTGGGTCAATGAAAAATCCAAATTCTTTCTTGGTTTCCAACAAGTTTTTCCTCAAAAAAATGAATGATTTGGGGGTCTACAATAGGCGTTCTACACGCATCATCAGGGACAGTAAGGCGAGGGCATTCTGCCCGTAACTTATTTTGTGTAGCCTTGTCCAAGGGTTTACGGACTCTAGAGGCGATGTATCTCGCCACATGTTCGGAAGGGCACCACTCCGCTGAACGCGGATG